CTCAAAGATATACAGATATACCTGTATATCTGACTTGTGCCTTCATCACAAGGATTTTCTGTTCCTCAATAAGAAAATCACTGTTGCTCCTGTCCTGGAGTTACCTGGGGCCCGCTGACAAGTTTTTCACTTTAGATGCCTCATAAGAACTTTAGGTCTCATGGCATGAACCCCTCAAGTTGGGCCTGGGCATACACCACACGTGGATCTTGGTGCTTTCCCAATTTTTTTGGCCTAAAGGTCAACAATTCTGCGTCTCCCTGGTGGCGCAGGGTTAAAGTTTAAGTGATATCAAGCTATCAGCAGCCACTGTGGCACGAATTTTATCCTTTGACAGGGAGGAGACCCACATGGTGCAGCAGACCTCCCTCTCCTGTCTCACCTGCTTCTCCCCTCAGCAGTGTATTTCGTGGCTCTGCCTGTTCTGCTCCCCACTCTGGTGAATCCTCCCACCCCACCCCCCGCACCTCTGGCCTACACACCTGTTCTTGTGTGCATAAATAAATCTTTTTAAAAATAAAAAGTAAAGGTCAACAATTCTATTACCAGGGCTTTGGAAGAAATGAGTTTTGATGGAGGCTGTGTTGGAGCTTAGCTACGATGCTGTGCCCTACACCGCACTGCTCTGAATGCCTCCAGACACTGTCTCCGGAAGAGCTAAAGTTATCTAGAAAATTATAACTTTTACTGGGCAAAGCAACCCACATATTAATTTAGTTGTGCTCCATAGACTCCAGAGCAGGGAGAGATGATCTTTTTTGTAAGGGCAGTCTAATGTCCTAAAAATGCACAACATTTCTTGACAGCTGGAATCAGGTCATGGAAAATCAAAACCTATCTTGCCTTTTCCTGGAATGATGAAAGCCTTCCATCATCTTGTGTATGTGTACCACGTTCAGCTGGATGGGGGGCAGTTTATCAAAGTAAACCAGAGGGGAGGAATATAGTACCACACGTGGAGTCCCCCTCTCTGGAAAGGTGAATTTCAGCTGAGTTGCAGAGCCTCCGCCCAGCTTCAAGACTGTCCAAGGCTGGCTAAGATGCACCAGGGCATCTGGACACCACTGGCCTTGTCTGTACCCCCACTGGAATGCCAAAGGCAACAAAAACCGCTTGGGAGGTGATAGAATCTGTGCGACTAGGGCTAAAGTCTAATTTTTTTGCTTCACATTTTAAACATTTCAAGAGCAAAGCATTACTAGGAGAAAATCAAACAACCCTCTGGCAAATTAAAGCAATAGCTCCCTTGGCCACTATTTTCTATGTAGAAGCACAGCTAAGTTTTGTTTCTTATAAAAGCAGGGCCACGCAGAACTAATACCAACTATTCTGCACTTTGATTTTCCCCCACTTAACTATTGTGGGCAGCTTGCCACGTCACACCCGGATGCTCGACATTACCTTTTCCAGTCACGGAAGGCATCTGCATTTTCATTACTCGATATACATTTTGCATTTATATATCTCTAGCTACACTTAGTTTCTTGCTACCCTAGTTATAGATGTACCTTTTTTATGTTATCTATTGCTGCACAAATAACCCTCAAGCATTGTGCCTGAAAACAGCCCACCTTTATTATTGCATGGCTGCGGGGGGTCAGGAATTTGGAAGCAGCATAGCTAGATGGTTCTGACTCAGGGTTGCGCATGAAGCTGCACTCCAAATGACTGCAGGGTCCAAGATGGTGCACTCAGGGGCTTTTGATGCGAAGCATGATGCAGTTTTGGGGGTTCTCCAGGGCACCTCATGACGCATAGTTGACCTCCCCAGAGGAAGCAATCCCAAGAGAGGGATGGAGGAAGCTGCCCTGTGGGCTCAGAAGCCACATATCTTTACATTTGCCGTTTTCTACTAAAAGCAAGTTGCCAAGCTCAGAGTATAGGAAAATGAGACCCAGAGTGGAAAATGAGGCCTTACATCCTGAAGGGAATGTCACAGAATGTGTGGTCATATTTTAAACTGCCACCAGTTTTCTCTATTAGAAGTACAGCTTTGCAGGGCCTCCCCGGTGGCACAGTGGTTGAGCACTGGGTTGCGAAGCTGCACACAGTCTCTGCAGCACCAGTTTGATCCCCGGCCGCCGGGTGAGGGGTCCCACATGGCCCGCAGACCTCTCCTGCCGCCCGCGGCTCCCCTCAGCAGTGTACTTCGGTCCTTCTGCCTGCTCTGCTCCCCGCTCTGGCTCTGGTGAATTCTCTCACCCTCCCGCGCTTCTGACTGTACCCAGTGCTTGTATAAATAAATAGAAGAAGAAGAAGAAGAAGTACAGCTTTGCACATTCTTGAACTTGTTACCCATTCTTGTTAGTATTTCTTCTGGGTCCCAGAAACTTTGCGCTTTAAATTTTGACAGGTTCTGCCCTGCTGCCCTTCTAAAAGGTAGAGTGTGGAAGAGCCCACTTCCCCAAGCCTTGCTTAGCTAGGCGGTGGACTGGGCCTGATTTTCATACCTACTGAGTTATGTGATTACATCAGGCTGAAAGGACAAAAAAGACACCCCTACAATGTTATAATCCCAGTTGGTGAGATCTGGTGACCTCCAGAGCAGGTTTCAGGTAGGTGATTTAGAGGGAAAAACAGATGTCTGCATATGTGCATGTTCAAAAGGAAATGGGGTGGGCGGAGGGAGCATCAGCCACACATTCATGCACTTTAGAAGCTTCTAGGCATGTTCTTACTGTTCCTTCTGGCTTTGGGCTAGCTCCACTCTTGCCATCTTCTGATTGGGCGTTAACTTGCCTGGATACTGAAGTGTTTCAGTTTTGGCCAAGATTGCGGTGAGCTGGAGGCTCAGTTCTTCCCTCATCATTCTGAGGTCTTGCTTTCATAAGACTTTATGCCATCTTGTCATCTCCCCGCCCCACAGATGCTCCACAGATCTGTTCACCTTCATTGTATCAGAAGTTATCTGTCACCTCAAGGACTTTTAAAAAATAGTGATTTTATTTGGGAATTCTTTTCCTTTTTTTAAATTTATTTATTTATCCATACAAGAGCTGGGGTACAGGCCAGAGATGCGGGTGGGGTGAGAGGATTCACCAGAAACAGAGTGGGGAGCAGAACAGGCAGACTGACTGAAATACACTGCTGAGGGGAGCAGCAGGCGAGACAGGAGAGGTCGTTCCCTGGCTGGCCGGGACTCGAACTCGTGCTGCAGAGACTGCTGACTGCCCCACAGTGCAGTGCTTAACCCCTAAAATATTACTGAGAATTCTCATAAACTTCCCATCCCATTTCCCTCAATGTTAACATATTACACACTAGATAGCGGACATTTATCAAAACTCTTGTGCTCTAATGCTCGAAATTACCTTTTGCTTTTAACTCCTGACTTTATTTGGATTTCATCCATTTTCCTCTAATGGCTCTTTTCCTCTTGCAGAATCTAGTCCTGTATTTCACATTAGAAAGGAAAATTTTTCTTTTCTTTTTTCCAGACAACAAAAGTGCTAATTTACCTGTAACTAGTTTAGCAGGCCAAATTTAGATAGTTTGTGTGTTCTTGGCATTATCACCTTGAATAAAAAACAAATTGTGGGTGTTTAAAGAGAATATCTAGGGAAAACAAAAAAGTCCTCATCAGTTGGTTTGCAGACTCTTAATCACATAGTCCCATTAGTGAAAAAGATTTTAAGCATGCCCTCCCCAATATAATTAATTATTCTTGCACTAGTATTACAAATGTGTATTACAAAACAGAAATATACAAAAGCAGAACTGTTTAAAAATGAGATAAAAATAAAAAATACAACATTTTAAAATATCTTATTATTGGTGATGACTTTGTACTGTAGTCACCATGCAGTTAGGGCAAAGTTAATCATTTGTAATTGAGCACATGCAGTCACATTTCAAATGGCATTCTTGGTCATTTTTATTTATTTTTTTGCCTGACCTCCCAGAATATCTGATCAGGTCTGTTTTTATCTTGAAAGCTGGGGGTGGGAAGGGCAAAGAGCTCATTATTAGCAGTAAACTTGTCAATGCTGCCACTTAAGGCCATGACCTGGAATTCGCATGTGTCACATCTACTTAGATCCCATTTGCTTTAAGCTCAGTCACATGGCCACACCCACCTGCAAGGGAGATTGGGAAATTGTAGAGCCAATTTTGGGATCTGTGCCCAGGTAAAACTTGAAGGTCTTAATAATGTGGAGGAGAAGGAGCAGGACAGTTACTTGGATATATTCTTTAGCCTCAGAGCAAATAACTCTATATGGAAGTTCCTACTCTCCCTCCTTTTCTTAGACAACAAAAGTGTTAAACTGGCCTGTAGCCAGTTTACTGGACCTAGTATAGATGGTTCATGTGGTCTAGGTAATATCACCTTGGAAGCATACAAATTGTGGGTGTTTAAAGAGGACATCTAGGCCTCCCTGGTGGCATAGGGGTCAAGTCTTAGCTTTATGAAGCTATCGCCGCTGTGACCTGAGTTCAATTCCCTGCCAGGGAGCTGACCCACATGAGGCGCAGCAGACCTCTCCTGTCTTGCCCATTGCTCCCCTCAGAAGGGTATTTCAGTAGATCTGCCTGTTCTGCTCCCCACTCTGTCTCTGGTGAATCCTCTCATGCCCCTCACCTCTAGCCTCTCACCCCCAGCACCGCTGGCCTACATCCCAGTTCTTCTATGCATAAATAAATAAATAAATCTTAAAGTAAAAATAATAAAGAGGACATCTAGGGGAAAAGACACATCTCAGTATTTAGTCACGTTGTAGCCGTTCTAATATTTTGTTCCCTTGTCCCATTGGGTCCACACTTTGAACTCAACAATCATGTCACAGTCTTGCACTTGTTGATCTTTTGGATGTGTTCTGTGCATTCTCCTCTATACTTTTGGTTCATGAAATTGAATATGTGGTGTGTGTTTGATTTCTTGAGAACCTGGTGTTGTCGGATTGTATGTCTGGTTGATTGTTATGCTGGCAGGAAATAATGCAGAGAGCGAGGTCAGTTTCTGATTCTGGCTCTCAGCTTTCCTTCCCCTTTCCTCCTCTCAGTGGGAGACAAATGTGGGAGAAACGAGTTCCAGTGTGGAGACGGGCAGTGCATCTTCTACCACTGGGTCTGCGACGGGCGAGCAGAATGTGCCGATGGCTCCGATGAGTCCCAGGAGTCCTGCAGTGAGTCTCCCTGGACACACCTCCCGACCCCATACTAGTGGGTGGGAAGGGACCAGCAACCTGATACACTGAATATGAATGTAGAGAGAGAAGTTTCTGTTACCAGCTTTAAAAAAAATTTGAGGTGGAATTCACATAATACAGAATTAACCATTTTAAAGCGACCCGTTGAGTAGCATAAACATATTCACAATACCGTGCAGCCACCACTCCTAACCTATTCCAAAACCTTTGTCACCTAGTGTTCCTTCAGTTTTTAATAAGTACCGCTAAATTCCCTGCATTTTGAACCCACCAAAAAGGTGGATTGGGCTTCTCCTTCTGAAAACTCTGGGTGTCTCCTTCACAAATCTAGGACTGCCTAGGCAGATTGGTCTTCCTTTTGGGTTAAGACTCAATCCTGTTTCCACCCCAGTGTCTGTCACCTGCAAGTTGGGGGACTTCAGCTGTGGTGGCCGTGTCAATCGCTGCATTCCTCTGTCCTGGAGGTGTGACGGCCAGATGGACTGTGTGAATGGCTCAGATGAGGAAGGCTGTGGTAAGTGTGCCCCCACCCCCGTCTGAATGCCAGGGTCAGCACTGTATAACATCATATACATTTAAAGTGTACATGGTGGGCCTCCCCGGTGGCGCAGCGATTGAGTGCTGGGTTGCGAAGCTGCCCGCAGCCTCTGCAGCGCCGGTTCGATCCCCGGCCACCGGCGAGGGTCCCACATGGCGCGCAGACCTCTCCTGGCGCCCGCTGCTCCCCTCAGCAGTGTACTTCGGTCCTTCTGCCTGCTCTGCTCCCTGCTCTGGCTCTGGTGAATTCTCTCACCCTCCCGCGCTTCTGACTGTACCCAGTGCTTGTATAAATAAATAAAAATAAATCTTAAAATAAATAAATAAATAAATCTTTTAAAAAATTAAAAAAAAAATTAAGTGTACGTGGTGATGATTTGATACACATATATTTTGTTTGTTTTTTTTTTTAAGATTTTATTTTATACAAGACCTGGGGTACAGGCCAGAGGCGCAAGAGGGTGAGAGCATTCACCAGAGACAGAGCAGTGTAGAGTGACTGAAATACACTGCTGAGGGGAGCAGTAGGCGAGATAGGAGAGGACTGCCGTGCCATGTGGATATCTCCGTGGCTGGCCGGGATTGAACCCGCGCTGTGGAGGCTGCGGACAGCTTCACAATGCTGCACTGAGCCTGCTGAGCCACTGGCGAGGCCTATATATTTTTTTTTAAGATTTATTTTTATTTATTTATGTATACAAGAACTGGGGTATAGGCCAGAGGTGGGGATGTGTGAGAGGATTCACCAGAGACAGTGGGGAGCAGAACAGACAGATCTACTGAAATACACTGCTGAGGGGAGCAGCAGGCAAGACAGGAGAGGTCTGCTGTGCCATGTGGATAACTCCCTGGCTGGGGATCAAACTCATGACTCCTGCTGCAGTGGCTGGCGATAGCTTGACTACACAGAGACTTTAACCTCTGCACCACCAGGGAGGCCCCCACATATGTATTTTGAAGTGATTGCCACAGTAGGGCTATTTAATACCTCCATTACTTCACATGCCACAATTGTGTTTTTTGCTCTTTTAATATTAACAATAGGAAACCCTTAAATAGCCCTGCCTGTGTGCCCCAATTATGACAGATGAGGAAACAGGCATAGAGGAGGAGCAGGGTGGGGCCCACGCCTGGTGGTGATTCCAGTCTAGGGCTCCCGGCACAGCTGGCCACCTCTCCAGGGTCGCTAAGTGGAGTCTGGCCTCTCCTGGGCTCGGTGTTCCCGTCTGGCAAATGGGATGGTATGGGAAATGGGGACTCCCCTGGGACCAATTTGTCCTCCCCTGCCCATTCCACAGCCCCCCAAACATGCTCCCAGCACGAGTTCCGCTGCCAGGACGGCAAGTGTATCGCTCCGGAGTTTGTCTGTGACTTGGACCGAGACTGTGCCGACGGCTCGGATGAGGCGTCCTGTCCGGTGACCACCTGCGGCCCCGCCAGTTTCCAGTGCAACAGCTCCGCCTGCATCCCTGAGCTGTGGGCTTGCGACGGCGACCCCGACTGTGAGGATGGCTCAGACGAGTGGCCGGCGAGCTGCGGGGGCCTCGACCCGCTGGCCAGGCGAAGGGACAGCAACCCCTGCACGGGCCTGGAGTTCCACTGCGGGAGCGGAGAGTGCATCCACGCCAGCTGGCGCTGCGACGGCGGCCCCGACTGCAAGGACAAGTCTGATGAGGAGAACTGCAGTAAGGGGCTGGGGTTCCTGCACCTGTCCCCGCCTCTCCCCGAGTGTGGGCAGGGTTCCCCCACTTCAGTGGTTAAACCAGCAACTCCTCTGTGGTTTCCATTCCCTGAGGTCCACATCAGATAATACCACATTCACTAAGAAATTGTAAGAGAAACCACTTTCACATAACATCCATTATGGCGTGCTTGTTACACTTGTTCTAGTGTTGTTCACCTCTTCCGTGCCTGATTCATGACCTCTCTCATAGTTACCTATGAATAGGAAAAAGCATAGTATGGGCAGGCCTTGGTAGCATCTGAGGTTTCAGGGTCTACTGGGGAAGACTTAATCTCTTTCTTGATGAGGGGAACAAGCTGAAAGTTGCCACATTATTTTGGTTCAGAAACGATCCTGGGCTTGGGGCCTGACCTGGTTACCTCTGAGCTGTGTGACAGTTGGCCCAGGACTCAGCCTCCCTGTGCTGTAGTCTCCTCCCCTGGAGAATGGGGGTGACATCATTGGCCTGAGTAGACCCTGATTTGACACTCCACAGAAATTTCGCCTGTGGAGGAAATGTCCCACGACAACGCTGCCCACCACTATAGCTGCTAGCAGACGCGGCTAGTGTGGCTGAAGAATGGAGATCTAGATCACTCTAATTAACTGAAAGTAAATAGCCTCGTGTGGTTAGTGGCTCCTGTGTCGGAGACCTCTACAGATACAGGACATGGCCCTGAAGCTGACACTGTGTCAGTGATCTTGAGTGATGGCCATTATTGCACATGATTTCGGTTTTTTGTTACGTTGGCATCTCTGCCACGTCCTTAGTTTTCATAGTGTTGTTACTGCTCCATAGATGTAATCAGTTTTTTTAAGCATCATATTTTAAATGTAATGGATGGCTTTTTATGTGATCTGTTCTAAAACTTTACAAGTTCATTTAACCCCCATAACTTGTGAGTGGCTTTCACTGTGCGTTACAGTTGAGGACCCACAACTGTGACTAGATCCTGTTATTTTAGCTATCATCAGAGCTCACGAAGTGCTTTTTTTCCTTAATGCAAGATATACACATGGGTTAAAAATAGAATCAGTCTCTTATTCTCACAGTGGAGTGTCCATTTAAAAATATGGAGCTTCAAACTTTGTGGTCTTTTTAAAGAAAGTGAAGGGAGTTGTTCTGAAAGTGAGGATTGTTCTGCTCAGAGATTAACTAACTCTTCTTACCAACAACCTGCAATTTTTAAATTGCAAACATTTTTATTGTGAAATGCAACCCACAGGAAAGTGCACAGAACATAAACACACAGTTTTGTGAATTAGCTTAAAGTACAAATCTAGAAGATCTAGGTCTAGATGGCGACCATCATTACCTTATTCTAGTCACCATCTGTGTCCTCCGATATTTCGTTGTAGAGGCGTCTTTTATCACACAGCATCATCTCAAACTTCTTTTGAGTTCAGCGTCTTAATCGTTTGAATGACCGTATGGTATTGCTCCGATTTAGCTTCATTTCCTCGGCCTTTCTCAGTCTAGGTTGGGCATCTTTGCTTTTCTTTTGAGAATGACTTGTGGGCCCTGCCAGCTTTGTGACCAGTGACATGCTCTAAAAAAGGCATGCGAGGAAAGAGAAGAGAGAAGTGAAAACCCTAATAGTTGTATTAGGGTCCTTGCCCCCCCCCCCTCCATGTTCTTCTTTTCCAACTGATTTTTCTTCATTGTACTTGCTGCTATAAGCAATGATCTTCTCAAATTTCCATTGGTTAACATTTAGAATATGAAGCTAGATATACCTGGGGAGTTTTTCCCTGTAGTGGGGAGCAGGTAAAATGGACAAGTAATTGACTCTGCTGGTGGACAAGGTTTTTGCATCTCTAAAGCTCTACCCGGTCCACACGCTGTCCCCCCAGGTCCCAGGCAGCTGCCTCCTGTTAACCTCTTGGAATCTGTGAGGAAGGTGGGGGTCCTTTGCTCTTTACTGCTCCTGGAGAAAAACTGACACCAGGTCTCTGTTTTCAGCCATTGTTACATGTCGGCCTGACGAGTTCCAGTGTTCCGATGGGACCTGCATCCACGGCAGCCGCCAGTGCAACAGAGAGTATGACTGCAAGGACATGAGTGATGAACTTGGTTGCATCAATGGTGAGCTCCTTGCTGCAGTTGGGGGTTAGGGGGTTGTGGATGGGAGGAGGATCTGGTTGGATCCTGGATGAGGGTAGAGCTGAGGGCAGATCCTCCGGGGGAAGCCCCTACCCTGCTGTGTGTCCTTGGGCAAGTATCAGATCTCCCTAGGCCTCACTTTCACTCACTGAAAAGAAATGTGTGTACCGAAAGCACCTACTTCAGGACTATGAGCTTTGATGAGGTTGGAGGGTACAGGGCTTAGAGAGCTGCATGCACAGTACTATTCCACAGAAGGCACTTTCCTGAATTTATAATGGCACTTGCACTCCTGGGCATGAGCCTGGGAGAAACCAGAACCAGCAACTGTACACTGGAACAACCAGAATGTTCATCAGCAGCAGAGTTAATTAAAAAAAAAAAGTAACTGTGGCAAAATACACATATGTAAAATTTACCATCTTAACCATTTTAAGTGTACAGTTCAGTAGCATTAATTACATTCACACTCTTGAAAACCACCACCACATCCTTCTCTAGAATTCTTTTTTTTTAAAGATTTATTTATTTATGCATACAAGAGCTGGGGTACAGGCCAGAGATGCGGGGGGGTGGGGGGCGGTGAGAGGATTCACCAGAGACAGAGTGGGGAACAGAACAGGCAGGCTAACTGAAATACACTGCTGAGGGGAGCAGCGGGCGATTCAGGAGAGGTCTGCTGCGCCATGTGGGTAGCTCCCTGGCAAGCCGGGGATCAAACTTGTGCTGCAGAGGCTTCGAATTGTTTCATAGTGCGGTGCTTAACCCCTTGCGCCACCGGAGAAGCCCCAATATTTAAATGGTGGTATAGACATAATGGAATATCAAACACAGCTGAGAAAATAAGGCTACAACTCTCAGACACCATGCAGGTGAGCCCCTCAACCTTGGGGCTGGGAGCAAGAAGCAAGCAGCAGGGCCTCCCTGGTGGCACAGGGGTTAAAGTCTCAGCAGTACAAAGCTATCACCAGCCACTGCTGCCTGAGTTTGATCCCATGCCAGAGAGCTAACCCACATGGCGAGGCAGATATCTCCTGTCTCGCCCACTGCACCAATGAGAGTGTGCCAATAAGAGTGTGTATCAGTAGATCTACCTGTTCTGCTCCCCAATCTGTCTCTGGTGAATCCTCTCACACCCCACACCTCTGGGCTCCACCCCAGTTCTTGTATGCATAAGTAAGTAAAATAAATCTTTAAAAAAAAAAAAAAGCGGCAAGCAGCAGATTACTGGATATAGTATTTTATAAGGTTTGAAAACAAGCAAAATTCAACACTGTATTGCTCAATATATTTGATAGAGCTATTAATGAAAAAAATAAGAAAATGATAGCCTCAAAAATTAGGATGATCTGGGCCTCCCTGGTGGTACAGCGGTTGAGCGCTGGGTTGCGAAGCTGCCCGCAGCCTCTGCAGCGCCAGTTCGATCCCCGGCTGCTCCCCAGCCACCGGAGGAGGGTCCCACATGGCGCGCAGACCTCTCCTGCCGCCCGCTGCTCCCCTCAGCAGTGTACTTCGGTCCCTCTGCCTGCTCTGCTCCCCGCTCTGGCTCTGGTGAATTCTGTCACCCTCCCGCGCTTCTGACTGTACCCAGTGCTTGTATAAATAAATAAATAAATCTTTTAAAAAAAAATTAGGATGACCATTATTACCTCTAAGAGCATAAGAGTGAAGAGATACATTCTAAGAAGTGCTTTGGGCAACTAAGACCCTACCTGGTGTTGCCTACCACACAGTTAGGATTCATAGAAGGACAGCTGTTGGATACACACTCACTGGCAGGAATGTCACTATGCAGCACGTGACCCTGATAGTCTAGGCCAGAAGTCTGCACACCTTACCATAAGAAGCCAGGTGATAAATAGTTTCCATTCTGGTCCATAGACTGTTCCAATGACTCAGCTTTGTTACTGCAGCATGGAAAGAGCCCCAGGCAGTATGTAAAAATTTGGGCTTTCTGGGCCTCCCAGTGGTGCAGCGGTTGAGCGCTGGGTTGCGAAGATGCCCGCAGCCTCTGCAGTGCCGGTTCGATCCCCGGCTGCTCCCCGGCCACCGGAGGAGGGTCCCGCATGGAGCGCAAACCTCTCCTGCCGCCCGCTGCTCCCCTCAGCAGTGTACTTCGGTCCTTCTGCCTGCTCTGCTCCCCGCTCTGGCTCTGGTGAATTCTCTCACCCTCCCACACTTCTGACTGTACCCAGTGCTTGTATGTATAAATCAATAAAATCAATCAATCAATCAATCAATAAATCTTAAAAAAAAAAAAAAGATGGGCTTCCTGTGACAATGAAACAATAAAATGTTGCTTAAACAAATAAGCAGTGAGCTGGTTTAGCCTTGGGTAGGAGTTTGCTAACTCCTGCTCTAAGTTTTACTAATGAATACATTTGGATATATTTTTGTAACCATTGACTATTAAATTATGAAAGAACACTAAGCAGGCTCTGCCCTAAGAAGTGCCTGACTTTGGTTCTTACAGTGACCCTGTGTGAGGGGCCCAACAAGTTCAAGTGCCACAGCGGTGAATGCATCACCATGGACAAAGTCTGCAACTCCGTCAGGAACTGCCGGGACTGGTCAGATGAACCCCTCAAGGAGTGTGGTAAGCCCTGGGGTGCCAGCAGCTCATGGAACTGGTGGGATGCAGGGCATCTAGGGGATGCTAGGCTCCTGCCCATATACCCTTGAAGAGTTGAAGGGTTCCTATGCTTTGGTTCTGGAGTGAGACAGACTTGGGGGGCCTTGGGCATAAGCAGCTTCTCTTCCTCAGTTTTCACGTCTGTAGACTGGGACAGGAATCTGCTCAGGGTTCCTAGTGCTGCTGGGATGAACCCACATGATGTTCGTTGTCTCACCAATGCTCAGTGGCCTGTAACAGATCATTAATGAGTACTTTTTGGTCACCTATCATTAACAGGCATTTTTAGGAGATTTCCCCCAGAAAAGTGAACTGTAAAAGAAAGAAAATGAATTCTTTTCCTGGAAACTTGCTTCTGTCTTGGGATTTTTTTTTGTAACTGGGCCCTCTATGTGGTGGATACTGGAATGCCCCTGTTGGGAATAGATGTATAGTACAAAGCAGAGGCAGCAAACTTCTCTGGAAAGGGTCAGAGAGTAAATGTTTTGAACTTTAGGGCTCTAGGTCTTAGTCGCAGCTGTTCTGCTTGAGAGTAACCCTAGACTGCATGTAAATGAAAGCTCATGGCTGTTCTCCAAGAAAACTCCGTAATGGGCCCCGGCGATTGAATTTCATACAACTTTTATGTGGCATGAGCTAATGTTTTTCTTTTGGTTCTTATTTTTCTTTTCAACTATTGGAAGTATATAAGCCCTGTCCCTAGCTGTTGGGCTGAGTAAGAATGGGTGGTAGGACAGCTGTGGCCCATGCCTGGTGATGACGGCAGGAGCCTGAATTCTAGCGCCAAGTGCCTTGCATTTGAGCCCAGTGGTGTGATCTTGGATGAGTTATTTTACTTTGGCTTTGCCTCAGTTTCCCCAGTTTGTTGTTCAATATCCTTAGGTATTGAGAGGATTCACTAGGTTAATATATGTTTGTGGTATATAGAGTTTATTTTTTATAATTAAAGAAATTTTAATTGTTGTTAAGAAACATAAAATTACCTCCAAAGTGATTTTTTATGTGTCCAGTTCAGTGACATTAAGGACATCCCCATTATTGTGCAACTCCACCACCATCCAACTCTAGAACTTTTTCATCTTCCCGAACTGTCCCCATTAAACACTAACTCCCATTCCTCTATCCCTCCAGCCCCTGGCACCCACTCTTTACTGTCTGCCTCTGAATTTGACTCCTCTAGGGACCTCTAACAGTATTTGTCTTTGTGTGCCTGGCTTATTTCACTGAGTATAACATCCTCCGGGTTCATCCACGGGGTTGTGTGTGTGACATTAGTTGTTTAAAGCCCTCTCATGATACTTTACTGGCCTCCAAGTCATCGTGATTATGATCGATCTGTGCCCCCGCCCTTGCAGGGACCAATGAGTGTTTAGACAACAAGGGTGGCTGCTCCCACATCTGCAACGACCTCAAGATCGGCTACAAGTGCTTGTGCCCCGAGGGCTTCCGGCTGGTAGACCAGCGAAGATGTGAAGGTGATTCCCGAGACAGGCTCCTCTGTGTCTGTGCACCTGTTAAGTGGATATGAAATCTTTTGGGAGGATTTTACTAGATGTACAGGATGTCTAGCACAGGTTGGGGCTTCCAGGAGCACTTGGTCTGCATTGGCTCTTCAGCCATTCTTGCCTTTGGGGTTTAATAATTAAAGAAATCTCAGTTGATGCAGCATTGCCCTGTCGGCTGTGCCCGGAGGTTAACCGTGCGGCTGGGGTCATTGTTGGAAGTGACACTTGTCCATTTCCATGATTTCATTTCTGAACTTGATGGCCACTGACACCCTGGCCCCGTGGTCTTTCCCAGATTGGTGGGCTGTCCCTGAGAGGCATAACTTGGGTGGGACCCCATCATTCCAGCCACAGCCCAGAGTGAAGATGCCCCAAACCTCTTATTCTGTCCCATTTCACAGATATTGACGAGTGTCAGGACCTTGACACCTGCAGCCAGCTCTGCGTGAACCTCCAGGGCAGCTACAAGTGTGAATGCATGGAGGGCTTCCAGCTGGACCCCCACACCAAAGCCTGCAAGGCTACAGGTGAGCGTGGGGCAGTGGTAGGAGGGGTGGGTCTGGCCACTAAAGCAAATGTAATGGGGAGTTTCATAATCTGAACTTTGTATAGACTAAAATGACACAGGGGGCAGACTGTTTGCTCCCCAGACCTCTGGCAGGTGGACAAGCAGCCTAGTTAGGAATTAGCCTTCTTAGAAGGTTGGCACGTGTCTGACTTCTCAGTAGACACAGGTCACCCCCCCCCCCAGGGAATGCTTTGCAGCCCCCAGCCCTGCTGATGGACTGGAAAGAGACTCTCCTTCCTTTCTGGGGCAGTTTGGGATGGACTTCAGAGGGTAAGAGGTGAAAAGACCTAATCTGCAGCTGCATCCGTTCCAGCCATTCTTATTAACAAAACGAACTCACACCTCTGACAGCAAATCTACTGAAAAGAGACCAAAACAGATTTGTTCATAATGAATCTAAGTAGTCGAGTTTCTTTTTGCTCTGAGGCTCACATTATAACTGCAACTGTGCAGTCATTCTCAGGATCACCTAAACCAGGAATCTTATGGTTTTGGAGGTGTCGTTGTCCTGAGGGAGTTGTCCCATCACCCAGACACACATGTGGTGTAATTCCAATGTGGATTAATTTTGCAGAAATGTCTTAGAGCTTCCTTCATTTCCCCAAGGGTCTCTGTCTTCCTCTCCTGCAAGAAGGGCTTCCTGTCCCCATGCCGCCCCACTTCTGCTGGGGTAAAGTAGCAGTTCCCTGGTATCACTTGCACTGAGATCACAAAACACACCAGGAGTTGAGATTTCACTGTCACCCTAAGAGGAGCGCAGCGCATGCTATGGGCCACATGGGAAGCAGCATTACTCAAGTCCAGGGTCAGTCAATTGACTATATTTTGGAGAAGTAGGACAGCGAAGCCTGCCACCCAGTGGAGCCCCTGGCAGCCATCTGCAGAGGCCCACAGCTGACTCAGCAGCTCCAGGGCCCACAGGAATTGTCCCCGGGGAGGTGGAGGAAGCAAGGAGAGCTGTGGGCAGGAGTCTTGGTTGTGGTTCTTTTGGAAGGAATAGGCGAGGCAGAGTAAGCAAGTTTAGGATGGTCTCATTTGGATACTTTCTGCAGATTCAGGACAGGGCACACTGTAGTCTGATATTTGGCTCCAACGTGGGCTGAGTGTCAGGGATGGTGGTGGGGATATGGGCTGACTAGGTTGTGTTTGAAGCAAGTTGAAGCAGACGTAGAGCCCTCTGTGATGTGCAAGGTCCCTGCTTTCAGAGCTTCAGAACCTTGCAGTTCTTAATTGGAAGACACTCTTCCACTTCATATCCTGGGTGTTTCCTCTGGTCCAGTCAGACCCCTAGGGTGCCAAGAGTGGGTGTGTCTAGGGTCCCTCCACTCCTCTGAGCACCTTCTTGTGTTCCCAGGCACCATCGCCTACCTATTTTTCACCAACCGCCATGAGGTGAGGAAGATGACTTTGGACCGAAGCGAATACACCAGCCTCATCCCCAACCTAAAGAATGTGGTTGCCCTGGACACCGAGGTGGCCAGCAACAGAATCTACTGGTCCGACCTATCCCAAAGGAAGATCTATAGGTGAGCTTTGGCACCTAGCCCTGGGTCCCCAGTGAAATGTGCTCCCTTGGCCCTGACTCTCTCCTCCCCCTCCTCAGCACCCAGATTGACAGAGCCCATAGCTTCTCCTCCTATGACACCGTCATTGGCGAGGACCTCCAGGCCCCCGATGGGCTGGCAGTGGACTGGATCCATGGCAATTTATACTGGACCGACTCTATCCTCGGCACCGTCTCTGTGGCTGACACCAAGGGGACCAAGAGGAAGACGCTTTTCAAGGAGAAAGGCTCCAAGCCTCGGGCCATTGTGGTGGATCCTGTCCACGGGTGGGTATTCCCAAAGCTGAGAGGGCACAGGGAATGAAGGTGTTCTAGAACTGGCTAGAACTCGTGGTGGGAAGGTTTGTATCTGAAGTAAATCAGATTGAGTGTGGAGAGGGCTGTTTGGAGCTGCCTGGGAGCATGGCCTTCCCACCAACCCTCTGCGGTTCCTGGGGATCAACCCCTCTCCATGTCTGTGGTGTCACCAGAGATAAAATCGGACCCTGAAAAGTCCTGCTGTCTGGAATAGGATGTAGAATCAGAAATTACCGCATTGATTAAATTGATATTAGAAATTAACACTTATTAGAAATTTAAGTTCTTGTTTCTGTGTTTGTTAGTATTTAGTATCTCACTAGTATTTTGTGACAGAGTAGCCTTTGCAGGGAGGTAATTAGAGAAAGATAAAATTACTCAAGTCCAGCATCAGTCAATTGACTTTTTTTTTTTTTTTTTTTTTTTTTGGTAAAGATTTATTTATTTATTTTTAAATTTATTTATGCATACAAGAACTGGGGTCCAGGCCAGAGGTGCTGGGAGTGAGAGGATTCACCAGAGACAGAGCGGGGAACAGAACAGGCAGGCTAACTGAAATACACTGCTGAGGGGAGCAGTGGGCGAGTCAGGAGAGGTCTGCTGCGCCATGTGGGTAGCTCCCTGGCCAGTGGAAGATCGAACTTGTGCTGCAGAGGCTGTGGACAGCTTCATAGTTGTGTCTTAACCCCTTGCACCTCCAGAGAGGACCTCAATTGACTTTTTTTTGGAGAAGTAGGACAGCGAAGCCTGCCACCCAGCGGAGCTCTTGGTGGCCATCTGCAGAGGCCCACGGCTGACTCAGCAGCTCCAGGGCCCACAGGAACTGTCCCCGGGAGAGCCCCATGTCCTCTGTACTTGTTGGACCATATCTGTCACCTCAGCATCTTACATGTGGAATTTCACAATTCTAGGGAGGGGTGGTGACAATCCAGGAAGGACAGCCTGTCCTGGTGGTAACAATGGGAAAAAAGGTAGCATTTGGCCTTGGGTAGAGAACACCGGGGAAGGCAAGCTTGGCTCTCTTCACGTGGGGTCCACAACTCAGATGAGGGTGAAGGTAGGCCAGGGCCGTCCCTAGGTGAACAAGACAAATGCTCTCATTTGGCACAGGGACACGTGGTCCATTAGTTCCCCAACTGCAGGAGAGGTCCTCCCAAACACAGCCCACGTCGATACAAGTGGTGGGAAGGGCCTCCTTGTGTTTCTTTTTTCCAAGTAGCGACCGATCATTGTCCTCTGCCTCTTTCTTTTGATCTAATGGGAATTGTTCCCTGTGGCCATGATTTATCTATTTATTAAATATTTATTTATTTATTTATTTAAATTTATTTATTTATGCATGCAAGAACTGGGGTACAGGCCAGAGGTATGGGGGGGTGAGAGGATTCACCAGAGACAGAGTGGGGAACAGAACAGGCAGACCGACTGAAATACACTGCTGAGGGGAGCAGCAGGCAAGGCAGGAGAGGTCTGCTGTGCCATGTGGTTTCTCCCTGCCTGGGGATTGAACTCGGGCCTGTAGCTGTGATAGAGCCAAGACTAACCCCTAAGCCACTAGGGAGGCTCCTCAACATCCCTCTTTTTTCCCCCTGTGTTGCACACAAAGCATCTCCAATGCCTCTAAACACCTTTGCATGTGAGTCTTTATAGTTTATCTGCAGCATAACATTCTAGAAGTTGGAATACTACATAAGGGGTATGGGCAAGGATCAAATTATGCTTCATAATGTGCACCAGAAGTGCCGTGGACGCCCCATTCCCCTCACCAACACATTCCCCACTGGAGTGGGGAGGGAGAGGAAGTTTATCCATTACAACATCGATAAACTTTGAGGACATTGTGCTAAGTGCAAGAAGTCAGATGCTAAAGAACAAATACTGTAGGGGCCTCCCTGGTGACACAGGAGTTAAAATCTCAGCACAGGTTAAAGTCTAGTGCTATCAAGTTATCGCCAGGCATTGCGGCATGGGTTCGATCCCTAGCCAGGGAGCTACCCACATGGCACAGCAGACCTCTTCTGCCTTGCCCGCTGCTCCCCTCAGCAGTGTATTTCAGTGGGTCTACCTGTTCCACGGATCACTCTGTCTCTGGTGAATCCTCTCACCCCCCACACCTTTGGCCTACACCACCGTTCTTGGATGCATAAATAAATTAAAAAATCGGTGTTCAAGGTGTAGATTCCAGGGCCCAGTCCTGACATTGGAATAAAAATCTCCTTTTGTCTCAAAGTTTCTCAAATCTGCTGGATTTCTGCAGGTTGCAGGCCCTGGGGTCAGCAAGGCTGGGGAAACAGAAAGAACCATGAGACTTTGTATTTGGTAGTGTATCTGGAGCCCCAGCCTAGCTACCAGGTGGAAACTGGGAGCCTCCCTCACTGTCGTCATCACATCTGTTCTCTTGGTTGTCCCACCAGCTTCATGTACTGGACAGATTGGGGAACTCCAGCCAAGATCAAGAAGGGGGGCCTAAATGGTGTGGACATTTACTCTCTGGTGACAGAAGATATTCAGTGGCCCAACGGTATCACTTTGGGTATGTTCTTGGGACCAGGGTTCCATGGGGTCAGGTGCAGTCTTGGAAGAGAGAGAAGTGTTGCTAAGGGGCTCCCCAAACAGACCATGAACCAACCCGAGAATTTTATTGCCTGAGATTTTTATAACCTGAGACTAAGCTCCAGCCCAGGTTCAGGCTCACACATGAGGGGTGTGGTCAGACCTCTATGGCCGGGCTCATCTCTGCTGCATCTGCGGGGGCTCCCTTCTTCTAGGAGAGGAGTGCCCGAGCCCAAAGGCCCCTCTGGTATTAGCCTGACCTCTCCTTGTCCACCTGTGGCTTCTAGATCTTTCCGGTGGCCGCCTGTACTGGGTAGACTCCAAGCTCCACTCCATCTCCAGCATTGATGTCAATGGGGGGAACCGGAAGACTGTTTTGGAGGATGAGAAAAGGCTGGCGCACCCCTTCTCCTTGGCCATCTTCGAGGTAGGGGCAGGAAGCACATGTGCACCTTCTGTGCCTTAGGTGATTCAGGTTGTTTACCATGTGCCACTCTCATAAGAAGCCTGAGTGCTCATGTTAAGGGGTCAATACACTTTGGCTGCTATGTTCAAGCCAAGATTCACTCAGAAAACTGCCTGTGACTGTAAACAGGTCTTAGACCCAGAATTATTTCTATTTTCTTCTCACAGAGGAGTCTCGAAAGGTCTAAGTGGTTCACACTTTTAGGTCATCTTGCCTCCCATAGGACATTTGGAAATGTTTGGAGACTTTTTGTTGTCATAACTTGGCAGGGGTGGGTGTTAGTGCTGGTACCTAGTTGGTAGAAGACAGGGATGCTGCTCCTCACCTACAAGAGGAGAGGGGCCCCATAGAGGCTTATCTGACCCAAAATAGTGTCCCATGTTCTAAAGAAATGTGGTCAAACAACTTAATTCACAGTGGCCAAGGCTTGGAATCATCCTGGTGTCCATCAAGAATGCATGGGTAAACAAATAAATGTATAGCTCTACAATGGAATATTACTCAGCCTTAAAAAGAACAGAACTTTTGACACATGCTACAACATGGTTGGCCCTTGAGATCATTGCTAAGTGAAAAAAGCCAGTCACAAAAGGACAAACACTGTGTGATTCCGCTTAGATGAGCCCCCAGTGGTCAAATCCATAGAGACTGAAAGTCGATAGTGGGTGTCAGGGGCTCAGGGAGGTGGTGTGAGGGGAGTTGGTATTTAATGGGAAGAGTTTTAGCTGGAAAAATGAAAATGCCCTGGAGATGGCTGGCTGCACAACAGTGTAAATATGCTTAATGCCACTGAACTGTGCACTTAAAAATGGCTTACACATAACATTTTATATTATGTGTATTTTACTGCAATTAAAAAAATTCATAAGAGGGCCTCCCTGGTGGCGCAGCGGTTGAGCGCTGGGTTGCGAAGCTGCCCGCGGCCTCGGTGGCACCCGTTCGATCCCGGCTGCTCCCCGGCCACCGGAGGAGGGTCCCACAGGGCGCGCAGACAGACCTCTCCTGCCGCCCGCTGCTCCCCTCAGCAGTGTACTTCGGTCCTTCTGCCTGCTCTGCTCCCCGCTCTGGCTCTGGTGAATTCTCTCACCCTCCCGCGCTTCTGACTGTACCCAGTGCATGTATGAACAAAACAAACAAACAAACAAATAAATAAATAAAACATGCCTCTATTAAAAAAAAAAAATTCATAAGAGACAAAAGAAATGATGATACCATTCAGAACTGCTTCTTCCCAGAGACCTGCAGAGATTCAGGGGTCTGAGGGAAGATAGTGGTCTGTGTCCCACCCCTTGGATTAATGAGATCTGTCATCTTTCTTTTATGTCCATCTAGGATAAAGTCTTTTGGACAGATATCATCAACGAAGCCATTTTCAGTGCTAACCGCCTCACAGGCTCGGACATTAATTTGTTGGCTGAAAACCTATTGTCCCCAGAGGACATTGTCCTATTCCACAATCTCACACAGCCAAGAGGTAAAGAGGGGGTGGCTGCTTGCTTCATGCAGGTACTCTGGAATTTTCTAGAACTTTCTGACCTTTTTCTTGCCTTGACTCCATGTCTCTTTCATCTCAGGGGTGAACTGGTGTGAGAGGCCCGCCCTCCAAAATGGTGGCTGCCAGTACCTGTGTCTCCCAGCCCCACAGATCAACTCCCACTCACCCAAGTTCACCTGTGCCTGCCCCGATGGCATGGTGCTGGCCAAGGACAAGAAGAACTGCCTCATAGGTGAGGGCACCAGCCCACGTGAGCACAAGGCCTGCCTATGCCACCTGTTATGACTGGGCCCTGCCACTGGACTTTCTGTGCCTCCTTTTGCTCATCTGTCATATGGGAGAACAAGGCCCCAGGGCACCATTGTTAGGGTCTCATGAATTGGGGTAACTGTGTAGGGTTCCCAGACCTGATTCCACCATGAATGTGTGGAGGCTTCCCCATGCCAACAGTTGATTCTTAGACATCAACATGGTATCTGAGCATTCAACTTAATTCAGCTCAGTTCTGACACTTTCTACCCAGAGATGCATCTGATTTCACAGATTAAGTTATCAGCCTCTCAAGGCCACCCTCCACTTCAGAGGCCCAGACTATTACCTGTCTTTCTGAAAGACTGACTGTAGATCAGATATTCCCAGGAGCCCCTCCTTGCCTCTCCCCCTGCCCTACCTCAGGTTCAGTTAATTTGCTAGAAGTTTTCAAGAACTTGGAAACCCAGTTATTCACTAATCACTGATACAAAGGATATAACTCAGAAACAGGAAGGGAACAGGTCACGGAGCTTCTATGCCAAGATTCTCAGGAGCTGTGAGCCAGGGACTGTGAATGAAACCCAAATATTTCTTATAATTCACAATGTTACAGAAAATATTGCAATATTACTGTGAGTGTTTAGGTGGATGCGATTCCCTTTTGATGATTTAATACACAGACACTATATAGTCCTATTTGGGGCCAGTATGTCCCTACTGTGAATTATCTTTTTGAGCAACAACAAGCAATAGAATAACAACCTAACCATTAATGGGGTTGTTCTCACGGCATTTGCTGTGCATTATTTCTTTATGGCTGATGGCACTCGGGAAATGTTTTCTTTCAGAGATTGAACCTGCAGTGACCACCCAGGGGCCCTCCACAATCACGTCGACAGCTGTGGGGCTGAAGCACACCACCCGCCCGAAGTCAGGGGTCATCCTTGAGCTCACCACGACCGAGACAGTGACCATGTCCCATCAAGGTAAAGACTGGAACCCCCTTGCTCCCCAGTCATGGAGACGAGCATGTAGATGTGTCCCTTCAGAGGCCAAAAGCGTCTTGGTGAAGAGAGAGTGGATTTAATCTCGGCTCCTTTGCTGTTTCTGACATGGCTTTTGCATCCCTAATGCCATAGTTTCCCTGCCCATAAAATGGGACTAATTGCCCATCAACTTCCCAGAAATAGTGGGGATCCTGTGGGTTAAGGTGAGCGAGGGTAGAAGTTCATAGTGGCTGCAAATCCCATAGTCTACCAGGCACCGGGGCCCTAGAATTTGAAAGATTATCAAGGCTCATTCATTGCCCCCCAGAAACAGGTCTGGGCTCAGGCAGGGGCGGCTCTCCTTGGTGCGGAGTCTGAAGGACACAAAAGCACTTGGGACTCACATGGTATTTTTTTATTATTATTTATTTTTGCATAAAAGAACTGGGGTGTGGGCCAAAGGTGCAGAGGGTGGGGGTGGTGAGAGGATTCACCAGAGACAGAGTAGGGAGCAGAACAGGCAGATCTACTGAAATAGACTGCAGAGGGTAGCAGCAGGCGAGGCAAGAGAAGTGTGCTGCACTCATGTCGCAGAGGCTGCAGATAGCTTCATAGTGCTGAGATTTAACCCCTGCACCAGCAGGGAGGCCCCAAGTTTTGTTTCTGAGGTGAGTTCTGCACCCTCCTCTTCCTGTTCTCAAGGTCTTGATCTAAGGTTTCAAGGACTTGAAGCACCTCCCTGAGCTGTGCTCTGGTCATTGGAAACCTGCTGTTCATGTCTTTGTCCACCAGAGTGCGCTTGGCCTTGTTTCTGAGCAGCCAAGAATGGAGTACATCATAGACTTCTCTAGCCAGAAAAAAATGGCACATCAGCAAGTTTCAGACATTTCTCACCCACCCCCACCCCCTCCATCAGAGCAGCTGAAGCCTTTGTTCAATCATAAGTGAAATAAAGCAGGAACTGCTGTGGCTAAAGGAAGCCTGGACCCTTCTCGCCCATGGCACAAAAAAACTATTCCACAGTGGGGTCCATCAGGACTTCTCAATCTGACTGAGGAGGCCTTGATTGGGGATGGGGGAGGGAGGGGCAGAGAACTTCTCAAGGACCCCACTACTGCTGCCCTAAGTTATTTTTGTTATAAGATTTCTTTCTTTTTTTCCCTCAAGACTTTTTATTTTTGCGTAGAAGAACTGGGGTGTAGGCCAGAGGTGCATGGCGTGAGAGGATTCACCAGAGACAGAGTGGGGAGCATAACAGGCAGCTCTATTGAAATACATTGCTGAGGGGAGCAGTGGGTGAGGCAGGAGAGGTCTGCTGCTCCATGTGTGTCACTTCCCTGGCCGAGGATGCTGGCGATAGCTTAATAACGCTGAGATTTAACCCCTCTACCAGGGAGGCCCTTTGTTTTAAGGTTTCTTAAATATATACAATGGTAAAACTGGGTGGACAACTACCAGTGGAATTAAAACCCAGAAGGGGCCTCCCCGGTGGCGCAGTGGTTGAGCGCTGGGTTGCGAAGCTGCCTGCAGCCTCTGCAGCGCCGGTTCGATCCCCGGCTGCCAGTCGAGGGCCCCACATGGTGCGCAGACCTCTCCTGCCACCCGCTGCTCCCCTGAGCAGTGTCAGTCTGCCTGTTCTGCTCTCCTCTCTGGTTCTGGTGAATTCTCTCACCCTCCCGTGCTTCTGACTGTACCCAGTGCTTGCATAAATAAATAATTAAATAAATCTTTAAAAAAAAAAAAAAAAACAGAAGGATTTGAATATAACCTGCAAAGGTTAACCATTGCTCACCATGTCCCGGATGTGACATGTCAATCCTACCAACCCATTTGCCTGATTGGAGGACTTTAAACTTTCATTTACATGGGGCCTGTGACTTGTCCAGCCAGGTGTGCAAAATAACATGTGTTTATGTAATGAGGTCCCTTCGCCCATTATTTTTTATTATTTGGGGACATTCAACTCAAACTTTGGTGTGATCCAAATTTCTGAGCATTATAAGGTGAAAAGGTGGTCCCTGCCCCATGCAAAATTGGCTCCTTCCATAAAATGCAGAACCAGGTTGAAAAATTCCAACGGTGATCTCGCCTGCTGGATCATGTACGTGCACTCTCATCACAACGGGCCAGCTCTGTCCATATCTTGCAGATGCACAGCTGAAGAGCCTCCTAAATCGGAGCCAATGCTCCAAGTTCCTTTTTGAACTTTTAAGGATTTTAAGGAAAATGTCTTTACATGTCGATCATCCCACAGCTGGTTTGAGTCTCCCCTTTCCTTTCTCCCACGCAGTCCTGGGCAACGGTGTCAGCAGAGGAGAGGAGGAGGGCTCTGGTGGCATTAGGACTTTGTACATCGTCCTTCCCATCGGTAAGCACGTCCCACCCTGCTCCCGGCTTCCTGCAAAACTTCCTCCCTCCCAGCAAGCTGGCCTGGTGCACCTTTTCTCACATGAATACGGTGACCCTGCTATGTGTCGTGTTCATCACCGTGCACCCCTTTCTAGATTTATTCATTTCCGACGTACAGTTTAGTGCGTACTGTGTATCGAACCTGCTTCTGCGCAATGAGGACACAGCCAGGAACAAAGAGTTCTGCTAGCTTCACACCTATTTTTCCTTTCTTTGGCTGTCCTTTTGAGATGTCCCTTCGACAGCCGGCCTTCTCACAGAGACCTGCATTTCAGTGCCCAACAATCGTGTATGGCAGGTGGGACTGTCCCTCACCTCTGTCTAGTATCCCACCAGCAGAGCCGGAGACTCACCCACCCTTTGGGCACAGGTCAGAATCTGGGTGTGCTGAGTGAGCCGTAGTGTTCCCTGGATGGACACTGGAGCCTAAGAACTGGAGGAGGAGTGGGTGGTGACAGGGAGGCCCCAATAAATGATGCAAAGGCTATCCAGCCCCACTCTCATTTAAACAGAAGGAATAATAGTCCATGCGTGGGTGGGTAATCATGGAAGGAACCTGGAAGAATCAATAATAGTCTCATATTTGGGGGGACAACAAACAGTTGAGGGCCTACTGTGTACCAAACTTCCAGACACAGCTGGGAATGAAATAAATACCCCACCCCTGCAGATCTGACAATGCGTGAAGAGAAACAGAATGTGTCAGTGGGGGAATGGGGCCAGGCTGAGTCCCCAGGCTGGAACTCTACAGGTCTTGGTGTTTCTAGAATGATTTTTTAAAAAGATTTTAAAAATTTATTTATGCATACAAGAACTGGGGTATGTATAGTCGTGGGGTGGGGGTGAGAGGATTCACCAGAGAAAGAGTGGGGAGCAGAACAGGCAGCTCTATTGAAATACACTGCTGAGGGGAGCAGCGGGCGAGCCAGGAGAGGTCTGCTGCGCCATGTGGGTTGCTCCCTGGCCAGGGATTGAATTTGTGCTGCAGCGGCTGCAGAATTTGTGCTACAGCTTCATAGCACTGAGACTTAATCCCTGGTGCCACCAGGGAGGCCCTGTAGATGTTTTCTTTTTTTTTTAACAATGGGCAAGAATTGCTTGAAATTCAGAATAAAACATGAACAAGCGAAAAGACCAGGAGTTGTAACGCGAGGTCACTGTGCTTGCTGAGCTGGGTTGTGGAGTGTCGGGCAGCTGAGTGAGGGCCGCCTCTCCCCACAGCACTGATCATCATGCTGAGCTTCAGTACCTTCCTGTTCTGGAGGAATTGGCGGCTTAAGAGCATTAACAGCATCAACTTTGACAACCCAGTGTACCAGAAGACCACAGAGGATGAGGTGCACATCTGCCGCAGCCAGGACGGCTACACCTACCCCTCGGTGAGTGCCCTCAGCACTGGGATCTCGAAGGGGGGCATGCATTTATCTGCGTGTTCCTCATCCCTACTGAGGACCAGGCCTTTCCCAAAGAATGGGGGAATGGGGCAGAGAGATCTCAGGGTAGATGAAGAACAAGAAAGCCAGAAGGGTAACAGAGTAGTTCGTAGGGCTAGGAGGGAGGGGATGTGATTTTAGATAAGGTGGTTGGGGTAGACCTCTCTTAGCAGGGAATGTGTAGTGTGCAGAGAGTATGGCCTGTGCAAAGGCCCTGAGGCTGGACCCTGCCTGGTGTGAGGAGCACAGAGGTGGCCAATGTAGTTGGAGTAGAGAGATTGATGGAGGGGGACTAGAGAAAGGAGGGATGAGGAAGAGCTGGGACAGATGTAGCAGTATGGTGGGCAGGACTTGGGCTTTTGCTCTGATTGTGGTGGGAGCCATGGAGTGTTCTAGGCAGAGGGACACAACCTGACTCAAGTGCTCACAGGCATTCCCTGGTGGCTGTGGGGAGAATAGAAACGTGAGGGCCTGAGGTCAGGAGGTTGGAGAGCAGGGCTGAGGCCAGGCCCACAAGGAGGGGAACTGGATCAGGGTGAGCCAGGAGGTGAGGAGTGGGTGGCCCCTGCCATGTTGATGGACTGTTGGACTGACAGTTTCTGGCGTTTATCATTTGGTTGACAGAGACAGATGGTCAGCCTGGAGGATGATGCTGCTTGAGTCATGGCCTTGGGCCCATCCCTTCCAGGAACCTGCTGCTGGTCACAGGCAGGAAGAACACTTTCTCCCAGGACCCTTGACCCTTTCTGAGACCTCAATACCCTCCTGTCTCATTCAGAGAAAGAGACCAAAAGTACCTGGCAGCTGCGGCCTCGGGCCTGTCTGCCAGAGCTTTGTTTTATATATTTATTGTCTAGGAGGCAGAACAGACTTCTGACAGTGCCTACAGAGAGGGCTTGGGTGGGGATTTGTCTCTCTCTATGTAAAAATGGAAAAGAGGAGGAAGTTGAACAAGCTGGGGTGACTAGTCTGTCCTTTCTGGGGATGTCTGGCCTTCTCCCCTCCTCCACTCATTGCTCACCTAAGGGTCTGACAGAGAGACATGTAGCAAGAGACAGTGAGTAGCTTTGAGCAGGTGCTACCCACAGGGTCCCAGGTGGCTGCTTGACCACTGTTTTCTAGAGAACTCAGGAATAAATATGTTTACCTCTGTCTTGCTGGATAGCCAGTTAGCTTTGGCTCTGACACCCCTGAAAAGGACAAACTAGGGTTTTCTTGGCTGGGTTTGCCCCACCCCCTTAAGCTGGGAGGGAGCTATGGTGGTATTGACATGGCTGAATCCAGCATTCTAGGGGTGGCATCAGCTGAGTCCCCTTCACTCACAAAAATCATGGCAGTTCCCAGGGAAACCTGAGCCAACGATCGCCTTAATATTTAAGTGCCTGAGACACCTGCTGCCTCTGCCCTCTCATAGCCCCCTTCAGGATGGGTGGTGCCCAGACCCCGCCAGGTCCGTTCCACATTCTCTTGCACTTTTTCAGTTCAGGGTTGTACATTGTGTAAAGCTCACGTTCATATATTTTGCACTGCTTTCAGTTTGGGTTGGGATGGACTCCCAGGCCAGAGGGGCCGGTGTCCATGAGCCTGCTGACAAGGGGGCTTCCTCCCAGCATCTCGGGAGGTGTACAAAGGGTCAGGGCCCCCAAGACTTGGAAGCCAAGAGCCTGACTGGTGTTTCCAGGCCTATGCAGATGCCCCTGAGCCCTTAACTCCCCCAACATGACACAGGGCAGTCGTGGGTGACAGGTGTCTATCTGAAACGTGTGTGGCCTTGGAGCCCTGCAAGTCCTCTGAGCTTGATCATTTTCTGGGACTTATTATAAGAATGCTCTCTGAAATCACCACAAATGTTGCATATATGACCAGAGGGACCGCAGCAGCAGCCCCCCATTCCCTTGTGAAGATGCGGAAGGGATCATCACTGTTCTCTGCAGCTGCACACACGACCCGCCCTGTCGGAAACTGGGAAAGGTTTTTCTTTCTGAAGCATGTAAATAAACCCCCATATAGAGGAGGGGGCTTTTGTCATGGTTGCACTTTGTATATTTGTGGAAACACTTATCACTTATATATATGAAAAGATTATTTATTTTTGCCCACCCTGGCTGCTGTGTTTGTTTGGTCGAGGGAGTCTGTCGGAGATGCCTGTCTTTCTGTACAAAGATTATTTGCACCAACCGTGTACCACACTCTTCAGGAAAATCATGTCTGTTGTAAATACAGGTTGCTTTTGGGGGCTGGGTATCGCTCTTTCAAACCACTGTATAGAATGTTTTTATAGACTGAGTGTCTTACTGTGATCAATTAAATTTCTTAAATGAACCATTTGGCAAACCTAATGCATTTTCATCTTCTGTTTGTTCACTTCCTCTTGCTAATGGGTTGGAATATGTCCCTGGAGCTTCAGGGCTCCCCAAGGAGGCTAGGGGCTTAGGGGAGGATCCCACAGTTCCTGGTGGATGATAATGCACAATGAGTCCCTCTTCCTTCCCAGTCTGCTTTGTGTGTCCCTAAGTTGCAGTTTTGCTTTAATTTCCTGCTTGTTCAGTCATTCAACAAACATTTATTGGGTACCTATTATATGCTAGGTCTTGTTCCAGGCATGCGGGGACTTCAGTGAGTAGAAGAAAATGAAGTGATTGACAGTATGTGCCCTCAAAGAACTGACATATTAGAATGGGAAATAAACACAATCACTATTGTAGAATGTTCTAGAAGAATAATAAATAGAGTAATGGGACAGAGAAGAAGTGAGTGGCAGAGAGGAGACTTCTTTATCTAGGGAGGGATGTTTTTTCCCTAAAAAATAGTAAGAACTGCCCACATGAAGATCTGGAGGAAAAAAGTGAGATAGGATGAGATATCCTCTTCCCCAAGGTAGCTCCATCAATACACAAGTGATATATACGTATATATATTTGCATAGAAGAACTGGGGTGTAGGCCAGAGGTGGGGGACGGGTAGGGAGGTGAAAGGATTCACCAGAGACAGTGGGGAGCAGATCAGGCAGATCTACTGAAATACACTGCTGAGGGGAGCAGTGGGGGAGACAGGAGAGGTCTGCTGTGCCATGTGGGTCAGCTCCCTGGCCAGGAATGGAACTCAGGCCTTAGTACTGATAGTGCTGAAACTTAACCCCTAGGCCACCAGTGAAGGCCCCCACTAGTGGTATTTCTGAAGAATGCTTCTCTTCAAATCCTTAGGCCCCTGCAATGGCTGGCATAAGATCAAAGAATAAAACTGTAACTATTAAATTCATCATGGCACAAAATATCGTGAGATTTCACAGCACAAATCCAAATAATTATAAGTTCTGGTAAACCTAGTTTCAAATTCCATCATGTCAACTTCTGGCTAGAGCCACAGACACCAGGGTAGCGAACTACAGGCTGCACTACACCCCCACCCCTCCCAACAGGCCTGGTGTATCAACTAGGTGCAGTCAGGAACACAAATGTCATTCGGTAGAAAGAACTTAGTGCAGAGACCTAATTTATAAAGACCTGTTGCAGCAAACTGAAGGAAATGCCACCTCCACACATGAGGATGAATGTAATCAAAACTACGACAGAAAAACAGTGCTGGTGAGGATGTGGAGAAACTGGAGCCCTGTTCCTGGCCAGTGGGAATATAAAATAGAGCAATCCCTGTGGAAAACAGCATGGCTGTTCATTGAAAAATGAAAAAGAGTTCCACGAAGGGTCGTGCTGACCTGTGAGGGCTTCCCTTTGCACCATGGCAGGAGATTAACAGTCAAAATCAGCAACTGCCAGACCGCCCCTTTGACAGTCACTCTCCCATCCAGAACCAGACCAGGAGCTGCTGGCTGAACAACCCGGCCTTCCCCGCTGTGCGCAGATGTGACCACCCAAGGTCTTCATGCACAGATGGCACCCGGCGCCTGGTGTCAACCTGGGGCAACCACCAGGCACGAGACACGTGGAAGGTCTGAACTGACTCCATCCCACCTCTCCATCCTTTCCACTGGGAGGTGAAGGGGGACCTGGGCACATGGTGACCCAACTTTGGGATACTAAATTACTTCTTAACTGGTACATACTTGTTAAAAAAGTAAAACAAAATAAAAAGTTACCAGATGGGGCCTCCCTGGTGGCGCAGAGGTTGAGCGCTGGGTTGCGAAGCTGCCCGCGGCCTCTGCGGCGCCTGTTCAATCCCCGGCTGCTCCCCGGCCACCAGAGGAGGGTCCCACATGGCGCGCAGACCTCTCCTGCCGCCCACTGCTCCCCTCAGCAGTGTCCTTCGGTCCTTCTGCCTGCTCTGCTCCCCGCTCTGGCTCTGGTGAATCCTCTCACCCTCCCGCACTTCTGACTGTACCCAGTGCTTGTATAAACAAAACAAACAAACAAACAAACAAATAAATAAATAATAAAACATGCCTCTATTAAAAAAAAAAAGTTACCAGATGATCCAGCCACTACTGGGTGTAGGCAGCAAAAAATTGAAAGCGGGGGCTCAGACACTTGTTTCATAAACAGCATTACTCACAGTAGTCAAAAGGTAGAAACCACCCAAGGGTCCCTCTACAGATGACAGAAAAAACAAAACTGGGTAAATCCAGACAACAGGATATACTCAGCTTTAAAAAGGAAGGAAATTCTAACACAGACCTCAACAAGGGTGTACCCTGAGGACACAAATCTCCTTGAATATTCCTGTCATATAAAGGCAAATACTATGTGATTCCACTGATATGAGGTCCCCAGAGCAGTCAAGCTCACAGGCACAGAAGGTAGTAGGGTGGGGGCCAGGGCCTGGGGACTTGGTATTTCAAGGGTAGAGTTTCAGTCTTACAAAATAAAGAGTTCTGGAGATGGCGGTGAGGGCCACCCAGTGTGAATGTGCTTGACACCACAGACACTGAAAATGGGTAAGATGGTAATTTTTTTTTTAAGATATATTTATTTATGCAAGAGCTGGGGTGCAGGAGAGTGAGAGAATTCACCAGAGACAGAGCAGAACAGGCACACGGACTGAAGACACTGCTGAGGGGAGCAACGGGTGAGACAGGAGAGACAGAAAGGTCTGCCGTGCCATGTGGGTTGCTCCCTGGCTGGCCGACAGGGAATTGAACCCATGCTGCAGAGGCTGCGGACAGCTTAACAGTGCGGTGCTCAACCCACTGTGCCACTGGGGAGGCCCAGATGGTAAACGTTATGTGGATTGGACCACGATTTAAAATACCAAATAGGGCCTCCGAGGTGGCGCAGGGTTTAAAGGTGGTGCAGGGGTTAAAGACAGCACTATCAAGCTATCCCAGCCACTGCAGCGCTGCAGTTCTATCCGCGGCATGCCAGGGAGCAACCCACATGGCGCAGCAGACCTCTCCTGCTGCTCCCTTCAGCAGTGTGTTTTAGTAGATCCTCCTGTTCTGCTCCCCATTCTCTCTGATGAATTCTCTCACCCCTCCTACCCGCCCCTGCCCCTCTGGCCTACGCCCCAGCTCTTGTATGCATAAATAAATCTTTAAGAAAAATAATAAAATACCAAATAATGGAAATAATTTTTGTAAGCCAAATGGGGAACAATGATACAGGCAGAAACAAGCAACCGAGAAAGCTACCAGCACTGCTGGTGCGAGGACAGAGGGAGGGAGCGCTGTTGCTGTGATTGGAGCCGGGTGGTGGGAGTCCTGGAGGAGACACTGTCCTTGGCAGAGAGAGGGGAGAGGAGCTCAGCCTCTCCCCTCCTCTGTGCTCCCTCCTACCAGTGCCCCCCATTGGCTGAACCCAGCAGGATTTAGAAAATGGGGTTCCCTGTCCAGGGGAGTGATGCAAGGGAACATGGGAATATGTGGGGAGCAGGTGCCCAGAGGGAGGGTGGTAGAGAGCGCAGATGGAGCTGGGCTGCCTAGGTTGAGATGAGAGACTTTGGGCCCATCAGAACCTCAGTTTCTCCAACCAAAAACGGGGCAGTGCTAATTCTACCTCCCGCCTCTGTGGGTGGGGGTGGAGGGGCCCAAGGTGGAGGAGGGGCGGGGTGCCCACTCTGCACACGCCTGTTGGGACAACAGGCTGTTATCTTTGCTGTGTCCACAGGGTGGCACTTCCTTCCTTCCTTCCATCTTTCGTCTTGGGAAGGTTCCAAAAAAACGCCTCTGGGGGCGAAAACTGAACTGACCACACAGGAAGCGTCTGGAGCCTGCTCCAGGCAGTCGATAATTGGTTGATTGACCGATCTGATGCTTAGCCAAGTGGCAAAAGGGACACATGAACTTGAATAGGAGGAGAAGGGACTGAGAGATGTTAAGGGAGGCGGGGCAGGCTGGGGACTTCTGGGCAAAGGTCAGAGATGATGGAAATTTCTGGTATCTGGGCTGGTTTGTTTTCTATTTAAGGAATAGTTATTCAGTGGCACTGAATATGGCACAGAGGAGGGGAATGAGGGACAATTAAGAGTGAACATTTTAATCTCTCAGCTGCTGACTTTGGCCATCTGAGGGGGGGAGAGGAGGCTGGGCTCACCACCTATTCCAGCAGCTCAGGGATGAAGGGGGTACAGTCTGGGAAAGGTCCCTCTGGGGGTGGTCCTCTCTCTGGTTCCCTGAGCTCAGAACTAGGCCCCCTAATGAAAGGTGTGGATGTCACCTAGGTCAGTTAGGTAAGTTGCAAGGCAGTTACTCAGAGTAGCAAACTTCGGGAGTGCTGGTCCTCAGGGGCAGAGGTGGGGCGACTGTCTGGAGCTTCAGGGTACAGATGGGTCCAAGTCTTACCCCCCTCTCTGTGGGCTCAGCAGTTCTAGCCAGAATCTGGTGGGTGGTGGGAGGAAGCTGCTACTCTGAGATTGAGACTGACACCCATCTTGTGCCGTCTCCCCCTCACCCCCTAATCTGCAGCTGCCTTCGGTGAGTCAGGCTGGAGCTGGAGGGCCTGGGTCCAGATCTGTGGCGGGAAGGGAGGAGGTAGGAAGGAGAGGATTGGCTGCCCGCCTCCCCCATAGGCCTTCCCCCACCGTGGGGGCCAGCACCCCTCTCCCCACAGCAAGTTCCCTTGGTGATAATGAAGGGATGAGCTGGCACTGAGCTGGATGGGCGGGTACTGAGGGTCTGGTGTGACCTCTCCCTCCCAGCAGCTCCAGTTTCAGTGCTGCTTCCTACCCTCCGTGGAGGGGCTCCCTCCCTCCCGCATCCTCTCCTCCCAGGCCCAGCTGCTCTACTAACCCCAGCCTGGGTTCCCGAGCTGAGCCTGGGAAAGGGGGTAAGGGAGCTTGGGGGCTCACAGCAAGGCCAGGCCCACAGTGAGAACTGCTGGCTGCTGCGCTGTGACCTGTGTCAAGAGGCTGAGTCAGGCCACCTGGAATCTGAAAATTGTCCCCAGATCTCACTTGGGACTACAGTAGACTGGCACCATCCGGCATCTCAGTTCCCTCCATGTGACTGCTTTGCTGTCCCCACCCGCTTTCAAACTAGCTGTTCCCCCAGCCTGGATTACTAGTTCCACACTTCTGACCCCTGTGGCTCAGAGGACACCTCCTCCCTGAGGTCTCCTACAGAGCTGGCCCCCAAAAGAAACCTTCCTTTCTGAAAGAACCTAAGCTCTGCATCCATTCCAAAAGGCTCACCACCCATCAGCTGTGAAGCCTTACCCAGCTGGACTTCTCTGCCTCAGTTTCTTCCTCTGTAAAGCAATTTGGGGCCACGTACATGGTATCCACACGACCCGTTTGTCATGGCTCCCTCTGGAATGTGGCCCCTGAACGGGGGTCTCGCACATCACAGACATCCTGCCCACATTTCTGAGTCAGTCAGGGGTGACGGGACCAAAGCACCGTCACTTCCATGCCCAGTGAACAGTCTTCCCGTAAGGCCTCAGGCCAAGGGGAGACAGATCAGAGCTTCAGATTCCACAAGCTTAGGTTCAAGTCCACCCTTGAGCACTCACTCCCCTACCCACTGATCTGTAAAGTGGGATCAGTTTGCCCAAGTCTTCCTCCAGGACCGGGGAGCACCTGGTCTCAGTAGGGCTTGATTAAAGGGAGGGATGGCCCACGTGGTCACAGAGAAGGCCCGGGCGTGTTCAGAGGAAGATGCCCTGTCGCATTCCCAGGAGAGGCAGCTCACTACACCACCACTCTTGCTGGAGGCCAGGTGAGGGTGGCATTCTTGCCACTTCATCCACACTTGAAGATTTTCCCAGACACAGCGATTGTCTGCCAGGTCAGCTGGGTCTGTGGATATCTGACCCACAAGCACTTGTCAATGACTTTAAGTAGCTAGAATTTCAGCCAGTGCAGACATGAGCGCCTGTCCTCACATGGTCTCTACCACCTGGGTGACCTTGGATAAGAGGCAGCTGTCTCACAGGCTGTTTCTCATTCCAAAAGCTACAGTACTGCTCCATGGACCCTGGGGCCCACTGCTAGAGTTCAGACTCCAGGGCATCATTGTCCTGTGACTTGATGGTGCTGTGCCTGTTTCCCCATATGTGAAATGGATACTCCTGATGGGTTTGGGGTGATGTTGGGTAGGACACAGGGAGTACTGGGGTAGTGCCAGCAGGGGTAGTCTCAGATCTGCATGTGCTGGCTGCTGACCTGCTTCTTCATTCCCTGGTCCTAGGGTTTCAAAGGCTGCCCCCACAAAAAGGCTGGGGTGAGTACTCCTTGTGCCTCTGGCTAAGCTCCATAATTCAGGAAGGCACTGGTCACTGCCTGGCTCTTGGAGGAAGAATAGGCAGGAGCCGGAGGCCACGGGCCCGAGGCTATCCCAGGCACCCAGCCAGCATGCAGCTATGAGTCAGGGCCCAGGCATTCAGAGGGCCTGAGCCTCTCCCAGGCCCTGTGAGCTCAGACACCTCCCTGCACCCGCCCGCTGGGCCCTGCTGGTTGTTATGTTCTTCACTAGCTTGCTCACTCCTTTGGTTGTTCCAGGGCAGCCTGGGGAGACAAGAGGACAGTCCCTCTAAATCTGGGTTCATGTCGCCTCTCTGAAGCCACCTTCTTTCTCTTGGGGAAACTGAATTCACGGCAGGCTCATACCTCGTTAGCCCCCTTCCTGAACACAGTAACTGTTTGGGAGGGAATGCAGGACCCCTGTGTGTTTAGGGGCCCAGGCCAGGGGTGTGGATAACCAGGGTCTGTGCTGGCAACTGTCCTGTGGCTTTCTCTCCCAGGCGCGCTGCGTGCGCACTTATTTGAATGCCTGGGGGAAACATGCTGGTGGACTCCTGGGCTGGTTTATCCTAACATGACCTGGAGCCCACCAGGGTGGGGGTGCTCCGGCACTTTTACTCACACAGGTGACCAAGAATGTACTCAGCTGACCCCTAGCTAGTTTCTGGTTAAGACTTCAGGGTGGGTAGGTGGGTGGCCTTGTGTGTCTTCCAAAGGACACCAGCCAGGAACATGTCTGTTTGTCACTAGTAAGGGGCACACTCCTGGAATCTAAGGGATGGAGGCCAGAGATGCTGCTAAAGTCCTAGTGTCCAGGATAGCCTCTGCCACGGAGAATGACCCAGTCCTAAAGTCTCAAGGGCAGAGGTGGGAAAACCATCTAGCTGGAGCCTTTATGCGCTTAGGAGGTGACTAAAAGTGCATGCAGGGGATTCTGCTCCCATCTCGGGCCAACAAAGACTATACAGATCTTGAAAATGAAAATGAGGGGCCTCCCTGGTGGCGCAAGGGGTTAAGATGCAGTACTGAGAAGCTATCCGCAGCCACAGCAACATGAGTTTGATCCTCAGCCAAAAAGATACCCACATGGCGCAGCAGAGCTCTTCTGTCTTGTCCGCTGCTCCCCTCAGCAGTGTATTTCAGTTGATCCACCTGTTCTGTTCCCCACTCTGTCTCTGGTGAATCTTCTCACTCCCCACACCTCTGGCCTGTAACCCAGCTCTTAGAGCATAAATAAATAAATAGAAAACGAAAATGACCTGTGTGAATATTACCTGAATACATAAAGCCAGGTTCTTGGCATAAAGGCAGGGCCTCTGAAGTTCTTCTGGGGAATCTTTCACTGGGAGTTGAATGGACTGGGGCCCTATATGTCAGGGAATGATTAACAACTCCTCTTTTGGGGGTTCCATCCCTTTAGAGTCCTGACAGGCAGATTCCCTTGCTCAGGACTGGAATGGGCTAATTTGGTGCACACTTCATGGTTCAGATGCTGCTAGAACTCACTGTTCTGTTTAAAATGCCTCTCTCTGAATAAAAATGCTATTTGAGCTTACTGTATATTATTTAGTTGTACAGAGGCACACAAAATCCAACAGTCCGAGGTTCATGTACCTAACATCTGCTGGCTTCAGGCAGGGCTGTGTCAGGGGACAACATGTCAATGGGATCCTATTTTCGTCTCCAACCTCAGACAGACCAGCAGGCTGCAAACAAGCAGTTAGGGTTCATGCTGGCTTTTCGTGACAAAAAAACAAAACAGCAATGGCACACACAAGACAGAGTTCCCTCCCTCATGTAAAGAAGTCCAGTGCTGATGCCTGGCTTCATCTTCATCAGGGGACAGTCTATCATCCCTAGAGTACTGCACACTCCTTAATTTGGCAAAATAGCTGTTAGGGTTCCAGCTATTACATCCAAATCCCAGGAAATGGTGGAGAAGGGGAAGAAAGGTCACACTGAGGCCTTTTAAGGATCCTTCTAAAAGCTTTTTTTTTTTAAAAAAAAAGATTTATTTATTTATGCATACAAGAGCTGGGGTACTGGCCAGAGGTGAGGGGTGAGTGGATTCACCAGAGACAGAGTGGGGAACGGAACAGGCAGACTGAAATACACTGCTGAGGGGAGCAGCGGGCGAGACCTGAGAGGTCTGCTGCGCAATGAGGGTAGCTCCCTGGCCAGCCGGGTATCCAACTCATAGTGCAGAGGCTGTGGACAACTTGATAAGTTGCGTCGTAACCCCTTGTGCCACCAGGGAGGTCCCTAGACCCTTTTATAACACTTCTGCTTATATTTCATTGGCCTGAACTTCACTACAAGGGAGGCTGGGAAATTCATCTTTTAACCTAGTCGTTGAAAGGGTTCCCTTACAAAGGAGAGAGAATGTATATCAGGGAGGAAGCCAGCGGTTCTGACACAAAACCCACCTTGGGGCCAGGGATGAGCCCCTATGTAAGTCACATGCACTGAGAGTTGGGAGGGGGGGACAGTGGATCCCCCAAGGAAAACCTGGGCATGGACTATCTATATATTCTGCCTCCCCCATAAGTCCCAGGGAAAATTTCCTTGGTTGGTGTCTTATCGTTTTAATGAGGTAACACTTGGCACACAGCTTTGTACTTTGCTTAGTTCACAGCTCACGGCACCTAGCTCCTCAGTGCATCCACAGCTGCACTAGATCTCACTGTGGCGGAAGGCTCTGGCACCAGTTCACCTTTGACGCCTCCACCACCCATGAGTACATTTCTGGGCACACGGTGACATTCAAACACATGCCTTGAATGAGTAAAAAAAGTCAAATTTGAATAAAAAACAATAGGGTCCTCCCTGGTGTCATAGGAGCTAAGTCTCAATGCTATTATGCTATAATCACTGTGGCCTAAGTTCGATCCCCAGCCAGGGAGCTAACCCACATATGGCACAGCAGACCTCTCCTGTCTCACCTGCTGTTCCCCTCAGCAGTGTATTTCAGTAAACCCACCTGTTCTGCTCCCCACTCTGTTTCTGGTGAATCCTCTCACCACCTGTACCTCTGGCCTATGCCCCAGTTCTATGCATAAATAAATAAATCTTAAAAAAAAAAAAGATAAACACCTGGAATTTGTCTCCATGTACTATGGTGTCATTTGAAGGTATTGTCACTAAGGTGACGTTACAGGCCTGCACAGGTAAGTCAGTTCTCTATAATGACCCAGCCAAGGCCGGTAAAACATCTAGACTGAAATTGGAGTTGGGGAAGAGGGCGAAATCCAGGAAAAAAAATCCATTTACATATAAACATTTAATATTAAATTGATCTCACCACCAACCTCCCACCATGCTGACTCCCCATGTGCAGGACAGTCCGAGAGGCTCCTGGTTACCATTCTGTGTCCACAAAGCTCCAGAGATAGTCGCTGATGAATTTCTTGGAGTGCTGGGTGCTGTCCAGGTGGAGGGGCAGGGCAATGCTGGGGCCGTGATGGACTGAGGTGGAAATGTAAGGAAACTGCACATAGCCCTGCCCACCACCCGACAGGGGAAGAGTAACTGTTAAAATGTTTCAAGATTGAGGGCCTCCCTGGTGGCGCAAGGGGTTAAGACAACCTACAAAGCTATCCGCAGCCACTGCAGCATGAGTTCGAGCCCTGGCCAGGGAGCTACCCATATGGCACAGCAGACCTCTCCTGACTTGCCCGCTGCTCCCCTCAGCAGTGTACTTTGGTCAGTCTGCCTGTTCTGTTCCCCACACTGTCTCTGGTGAATCCTCTTACCCCCTGCACCTCTGGCCTGTACCCCAGTTCTTGTATGCATAAATAAATAAATCTTTAAAAAAAATACGGTAAAAAAAATGTTTTGAGATTGAAACTAATTTTTGTAAACAAAAGTTAAATTCTCATAATGCACTATAACTTTTTGAAAAATTGTGGTAAAAGATACATAAAGTTTGCTATCTTCAAGTTTTCAGTTCAGTGGCTTAATTAAGCACATTCATGTTGTTGTGCAATCATTCCCACCAGTGATCTCCAGAACTTTTTCATCTCAAAAAACTGAAACCCTGTCCCCGTTAAACACTAACTTCTCATACACCTCCCCCGATGGCTGATGTTCACCATCCTACTTTCTGCCTTTGTGACTCTGACTCAAGTAAGTGAAATCACACAGTACTTGTCTTTTTGTGTCAGCTGATGTCACGAAACATGATGTGCTCCAGGTTCATGTGTGCTGCAGCATGCACCAGGATTTCCTCCCTTCTTAAGGCTGAGCAATACTCCATCATACAGACCATCACATATTATGTACCCAGTCGTTTGCTGACAAGACACAGGAGCTGCTTTGTCTTTGGGCTACGAACATGAGTGTATAGACTTCTGTTTGAGTCCCAGTAGTATGGGTGGGTCCTATGGAAATGCTGTTTCCAAAGTGGCTGCGCTCAGGGTTTCACTTTCTCCACTAAGGATACTGCCTTTGATCATCCCTGGCTCCGACTCAGAGTCCCATTCAATTTTACTAATCCGGTGATAAAGGTGAGCCACATACCTATATAAGACCAAAAAAAGAGAGAGAAAGAGAGAGAGAGAGAAAAGTTACCCTAACATCAACAAAGAGCGATGACTGAACACACATACCCACACACACACTCATGTGTGCATTTGTGGGACCTACACTGCTGATGGGATGGTGACCGTTGTGTCTTCATCAACTTCCCTCTCCTTTCTTTCCAGGTCAGTCTCGATCTCCTTGAGCTCATCCAGTTCCCGGGTGAGCTGGGTAGAGCAGGCAGTTAAGGACCCATGCTCTGGAAGGAAAGTGGCCCATGTGATAACCCAAGCCATACAGGGCCCAAGGCCTCTAGCTCCCACCACACTGCCTGGTGTGAACCACTCAGTGCATGCAGGAAAGGATATAGGAGGCTGTCCGTCAGATGCGTGTCCTCCTCCCCGATCTTCTGAAGCTCGGCCTCAAGCTGCTGCAGCCTGGCACCGCCCTGTTGCACCTGCTCCTTTGCATCAAGAAGGTTCTGGGCCACTTCCCTCTCCATGGCCAGGATCTCTGCAAGGGAACAGAGAAGGCTGAGTCCCCTAAAGTCGGGATCCCTGGGGTCTGTCCTTCCCTAGGGGAGCCATTTATCTTTCTGCTGCCTCAGCCTTACCCGCCAACATCCCCATTACCTTGTCAGCAGTAACGCCCACGCCTACACATCCAATTTCCAAATGCCTGTCACAGACGTCCACCTGGACCTTCTATAAACGCTCTCATTTCACCAAAAAGCATATGAACCCACAAAGTAAAATCCATCCTTCTTTGCAACTCTTACTAATTTATGTCATGGGCAACCCTGTTGCCCAAGCAGAACTCACTTTCCCTCACCATTTAGCTCTCCTGGCTGGAATGCCCCCTCGCCTTGCTTGTGCTGGACCTTTACCCCTCCAGGACACCCAAGTAGCCTCCGCTCCGTGTTCTGTTTTGGTCTCTGCCTTTGCCAAACTGCCAGTCCCTTCAGCTCTCTGCCTCCAGAATGGCTGCATTAGAGGCTAAATATAAAGTCATTCCCCTGCTCAAAGGCCTCTACTGCCCCAGGGTCTCCCCAGAAAATCCAGGCCCCTTTCACCATTTGTGCCATCCTTGCCCGGCTTTTCGCCCCAGTGTCCTATTATCTCTTCATGCTGTCAATACGCCTTGTTTCCCACAGGGCCTCCACATGCTCCAGTGTTGCTATCACCTGGTACACAAGTACCCAGTCTCCAGGACCTCCCAGGTAGTGCCTGGTGCAGGCGGCTAGGCTGCATCCCCTCCTGCCCCGGGAGATTGTGCTTCCATGACAGCTCCCATCGCTTCCACTGCTATTCCTTTGCTTCCTCTTTGAATCAGAAATCGCACCTTACATTCACCAGACAGTCAGCTCCTACTCAGAACAGACATACACTCATGTGTGCTTACCAACAAGGATGGGTACTGAGAATTGTGTTGTTAGGCGATTTTGTGATTGTGGGAATATCATAGTGCGACAATGTAGGGTAGGTAAAAGGTATCAGGCTTTTCTGCCCTCCCGCCATCAGGATAGAGGAGGGAACCCTGTGCTCCTGAAGGCATGCCTGATGGCAGGCATCTGAAGTGGGTACAACTGGGCTGAGACTGGACTTTTAAGGGCGGTGTCACGGGGACACCAGCAGCAGCAGAAGCTGAGAGAGAAGCAGAGAACACAGGAGAGCCCAGATAGAATGAAGACTTGCTAGGAGCTAGGAGGCCTACCAGCCTCCTAGCCCCCCAGCATCCCTGCCTGCTGTGTACCAGGTAAATCCCAATAAAAGCCTGCAAAAAGCCACTGAGGACTCAGACTCCTCCTTTACCCGGTCTGCTGGATCATAGAAAATCTGCACTGTGTCCATTCCTGACCCTACAGACAACAAGACCTAGATGGTGCAGACTGCTGCACAGCAGGCTTTATGGTGGTGCCTACAGGACAACCAGCGGATATGCTGTTCATCTTTGATCAAAAGGTCACTGAACAAGGCATGGCTGTATGTTGAATGAAACACCCAGAAAGATTATAAAAACACATTGAGAAGGCTACTGTGTTTCTTCCCTCCCATAGTCTGAGAAGCCTGCCAAGTCTGACAACACACAGATGAAAATGAAAATACCACCCAAAGGGGCAATACTGAATTATTAACAAACTTACACTATGCTAATTTTAATCAAAGTATTACATGTATACATATGGTTGTGGAAATTCAAACACACACATACAAAACCATCTCTAATCTGCTCCATGCCTCTGAAGCAGACACTTTGAATCCTTCACTGTTTTCTCTGGCTTGAACTTCATATTTCTAACTAATTTGCTTATGCTGCTATTTTTCTATTTGTCTGAGATAGTGCCTGATGATTTCCTGTGAGGACAGCTGAGGGCCTGGGTCTTACAAAGCCTTCCTATGCCTTCTCCAGTCACCCTCCTGCCAAGGCAACCACGTTTCCGTGGATTCTACTCTAGGGAGTAAACTCTTGTGTGTAGACATTTGTCATAAGGTGCAGAGACCTGAGTGCTAAGTGCCTCAGGATGACTTCAGAGCTCTGCTCACTGTGTTCTTACGATCTTCTCAGGAAAGTGGCTTAACTCCACTCCTGGTCTAAGAGGTGAAGAATGGAAACCCAAAGCAGTTCAGTGACTTGTCCCCGCGCACATATCTCCAGAGTTGGGGTTTGAACTGGATCCTTTTTTTTTTAAAGATTTATTTATTTATAACACACCAGTGGTGTGTGTGTGGGGGGGAGGGGCGGAGGAAAGAGGTGAGAGGATTCACCAGAGAGAGAGAGTGGGGAGCAGAACAGGCAGACTGACTGAAATACACTGCTGAGGGGAGCAGTGGGCGAGACAGGAGAGGTCTGCTGTGCCATGTGGGTACCTCCCTGGCAGACTGGGAATTGAACTCATGCTGCAGAGGCTGCAGATAACTTCACAGTGTGGTGCTTAACCCCTTGTGCTACCAGGGAGGCCCTGAACTGGATCCTTTTGATTCAAAGTCCTGGCTCCCTAGAACACTGGCTCTTACCCCTCCAGCCCCAAATCCACCATTCTGCTGAAACTCAGGTAAGCTGTAAGATGCTGATCTCCCCAAAGCTAACAGAGAAAAGAGGAGGAAAGAAAGAAGAAAGGAGGGGAGAACCTTGACCATCCATGATGCTTAGCTAACATCCAAACTCCTCTCAGAGGCTCACAGGCCTGGCAGAGTCTGGCTGCTGCTGACCTCATCTTCTACCACTTTCTCCTGGTCTCCAAGCTCATTCTCACCTTAAGACTTTTGCATAATCAGTTTCCTCTGGGAGGAACTCTTCCCCTAGAGTAATTCCAGGGCTAACTTCATAGACACTCAAGTCTCAATCTAAATGACACCTTCTTATAAAATGAGACTATAACAAGGTACTAAAAGCCCCTAGCACCAAAATCACAATGGAAGGCAAGATGGCAGTTCCTCAAAAAATGAAACATCAAGTTACCATTTGAGGGTTGGGATGGGGAGGAAAAAAAAGTTATTTGATCTAGCAATTCAATTTCTGAGAAAACAAAAAAATTGAAAGCAGGGACTCAAACAGATATTTATACACCCATATTCATAGAGCATTATTCGTAAGAGCCAAGGTGTGAAAGCATCCAAGTGTTGAAGGATGGAGGCAAGGTAAACAAAATGTGGTATATATACACATAATGGACTATTATTCAGCCCTAAAAAAGGAATTCTGACACACGCTGCAACATGGATGAAACTTAATGCGAAATAAGCCAAACACAAAAGGACAAATATTGCATGATTCTGCTTATATGAGGTACCTAGAGGAGTCAAATTCATAGAGCCTCAGGTAGAGTAATGGTTTCCAGGGCAGGGGGAGCAGGGAATAGGAAGTTAGTGATTAATGGGTGCAAAGTTTCAGTTTGGGATGAGAAAAAGTTCTGGAAACAGAAGGTGGGTGGTAATGGTTGCACTAAAATGTGAATATAGGTAATGCCACTGGACTGGACATTTTAAAAAGTCAGTAGCTTACAATAAAAAGTCCTCATACTAAGAGCAGCAATGACAATGGCAGCCCTTGCGCATAGCATGGCACAAGCACCATCTCCAAGAATGTTTCATTGAGGTCAGGAGGGTCATTTCACATATGAGGAAACTGAGACTGGACAGAGAAATCTCTGGGGATCATAAGCTAATTGCTGAAATCCTTAACCCATCACCTCCTTGACATACCCATTTTTCTTGTTTATCCTCTGTCCTCACCCGACTGGTGTATCAGCCCTCCAAGGGATTTTGTCTTTTGGTTGGTTCCCTATTGCCACTCCAGGGATGGCAGTATGCCTGGCACACAGCAGGTGCTCAGTAAGAGATCTGAACCATCTCAGCAGAAGATAGGCCTGTCATTTACATCCATTGTATAGATAACAAAGCTGAGGCACAGAGAAGTAATTACCTCTAATGTCACAGCTGGCAAGTGAGGGTGGTAGTATTCAAACTCAGTGATTTCATCCCTGTGCCCCAATCCCACCGACCTGAATCTCCCAGCTCCTGCGAGCGCCTACATTCACCAGTGGGAGGTGGTTTCTCTCTTGAAGCCCACTTGACGGGTGGGAAAACTGAGGTTCAGAGAGGGCAGTACAGGGCAGGGAATAGGGGTTCCCAGGAGAAAAGGAGGGAAAGGGTGTCGCCCCAACCCTCACCCCGCCGTCTCTGCTCCGCTTCGTCTTGCGTTTCCAGAAGCCGCTCCACCACCTGTTCGTGGCGCCCAAGCAGTCGTCGTTGCTGCGCTTCGGCACGGTTGGTGCCCAGCAGGCTCAGCAGCCCTTGGCTCACCTCTTCCATGTCACGAAAAGCCGCCATGACTACGCCAGGACCGCTCCCGCGCAAATTTAACTGCCCTCTGGGCCCGCCTCGTCCCCGAAAGGACCCGTTTCCAATGGTTTGTTTCAACGTCAGTCATCAGCGAATGGGGCCGCCCCTTTCGGGTCTGGCCTAGTGCGCCTGCCCCGGATGCTCCGTCAGTCATTGGCGATGACCAATCAGCGCAGGGAGGGGCTGCCTTCCGGCCTTGAGGGCCTGCCTGTCGCGCCTGCGCAAAACCAGCTGCAAGAAGCTGAAACTTGGTCCTCCCTGGTGGCGCAAGGGGTTAAGACGCAACCTGTGAAGCAATCCGTAGCCTCTCTAGCACGAGTTCAATCCCCGGCTAGGGAGCTACCCACATAGTGCAGCAGACCTCTCCTGCCTTGCCTGCTGCTCCCCTCAGCAGTGTATTTCAGTCAGTCTGCCTGTTCTGCTCCCCACTATGTCTCTGGTGAATCCTCTCACTACCCCCTCCCCCGTATTTCTGGCCTGTACCCCAGTTCTTGTATGCATAAATAATTAAATCTTAAAAAAAAAAAAAGCACCTGAAACTTTATTTCTGGAGTTCAGCACCTGCTCCCTGGAGGGTGGGTTCAGGAGGCAAAGCCATTGACTACTTCTCATGGAGTCAATAGTCCATAGTGGATGCATGAGATACTCATCATAAACATTAGTATTAGAGGCTGCAAAATGGAGCCTACACTAAGATTTATTGGGTTTGAATCCCAGCTTTGCCACTAATAGTGTTACCGTGGGCCGATTACGTTACCCTTCTTTGCCTCACATTCCTCCTCAGTAAAATGAAGGTCATGAAAGAACCTACTTCAGAGTTGGGGTGAGAATTAAATGAGGACGGAGTCTGGTTCTATGTAAGCGTTGAATAAAGCACCCATAGAATGCTAGCAGTTGAGTTGCCTACCTTGCACAGGACACTACGCTATGTGTGGGGTTATACAGTGTAGGAAAGACAAACTGCACACTTTTCTGACATATTCCTCAAACTGAGGTAAAAATACCATTTCAGCAGGTCTGACCAGCATTTTCTACAAAATGCAGTGGGGGGAAATTAGTGCATTGTGTACAGAAGTTTAAGTATTATTTTGGGAAGTGCCAAACTGTGTGCCAGCTGTGGAAGAGCATATTTTATTTTCAGGAAAATGGCTACAGAAATAGTTCTGGCCTTGCCACTGCTGGTCAATAGGCTGATTCTACAGCCAGATCTCCACAGTGCTCAGAGGCGGTGGGGCAAGGTTGTTTTGTTGGGGCTCAGCCCATGGCTTTTCAGAGCTCACAGACCCAAGAGCCAGTCCTGACCTGGGTGCAGGTAGTCTAGGTAGGGGACCAGCTTTCCCTTTTTTTTTTTTTTTTTTAATAGAGGCATGTTATTTATTTATTTATTTTATTTGTTTATGCAAGCACTGGGTACAGTCAGAAGTGCGGGAGGGTGAGAGAATTCACCAGAGCCAGAGCGGGGCGCAGAGCAGGCAGAAGGACTGAAGTACACTGCTGAGGGGAGCAGCGGGCGGCAGGAGAGGTCTGCGCGCCATGTGGGACCCTCCTCCGGTGGCACGGGGAGCAGCCGGGGATCGAACCGGCGCCGCGGAGGCCGTGGGCCGCTTCACAACCCAGCGCGCAACCGCTACGCCACCGGGGAGTCCCAGCTTTCCCTTATTATATCTGGCTCCAGGATCCTAAATGGTCCAATCAGGTTCAAGTCCTCCAGCTGTTACTCAACCTTGAGTTAATTCTCTGTATTGAAAATGGAAAGCAAGCTGATTGGTGGTAAATGATCCAATCAGATACCTAGGATTGAAAACAGCCGTGGAGGCTTGTTGCGTGGGGAACTCTGAAGATGATACTACAGAGTGAGAGCCAGCCTGAGTCAGTCAGCAGCCCACTTCTGAAGTGAGAAGCATTCATTGGACCACCTTTGAAGAAGGATGTTGCAGACCTCTGCAGACACCCCTGCCAGTAGATGCCCAGATATCCAGACTGTCCAGACCGCCTTAGAACTTTGAAGGAAAAAAAAGGGCCTCCCTGGTGGCGCAGGCGGTTGAGCACCGCCCCGTGAAGCTGTTTGCAGCCTCTGCAGCACGGGTCCGATCCCGGCCAGCTGGCAAGGGTCCCACATGGCGTGGCAGACCTCTCCTGTCTCACCGGCTACTCCCCTCAGCAGTGTGTTTCGTCAGTCTGCCTGTTCTGCTCCCCACTCTGTCTCTGGTGAATCCTCTCACCCTCCCGTGCATCTGACCTGTACCCCAGCACTTGTATAAATAAAATAATTTTTTTTTAAGAACTTTGCAGAGACCCAGTTGCTGCACCTGCCTCCAGCCTTGCCTCTGACATTGCCTGCAAGGAGCACTGTTGTCCTTGGCCTGGTGTCTCAAAGAGCTGTTGGCTATTGGTTCATACCAGTAGTTCACAAAGAGCTGTAGCACAGGTGTTTTTGATACTGACTCTGGTGACTAGTACTTTGGCCAACTTTATGAGCTGTCCACCACATCTGATTCTCCAGCATGGCTTCCTGGTGCTATTGGTTCCATTGTGGTCTGGCCTGGGATCTGGTGCTGTCTAATCTGGCCTTCAGATTGTTGCTGTGGGCAACAATTGTCACATCAGTGGTCTCAACCTGTGAGCACCTCCAGCTGTCAGTGTGTGGGCCTTGGTGCACTGCTGTCTGGTATGCCACCAGCTCCAGATCCTTGTTGATGGGACAGTGCCATCTAGCATGAGTGGCCTTTGTATGGGGCTTCTGGATACTGTGGACACCATCTAGGGTGAGACAGCTGGCAACTTGTGGCCTTAGAAACTCCTTTTCCCCAGTTTCCTACTTATTAAATAAACCCTGTTGAGCCAGAGTGGTCTTGCTTCTGACATTGCCTTGAGTAGTCTTGCAATTGTGTGTACAGGTGAGAACCCACTGACAGTGACCTGTCCCCTACCTTGGGCACTGTCCCTTGGTACTGTCTTGAGTATTATTTTAGCACTCTGTCTGTAATGTCTTAATTCCTTCTCTTGAACATGTGTGGTAGTTTGTGCAACAAATAGAAAGTACAGGGCCTTCCTGATGGCCTAGAGGTTAAATCTCAACGCTACCACTGGGGTGGCCTGAGTTCGATGCCCAGCCAGGGAGCTAACCCATATGGCACAGTGACCTCTCCTGTCTCACCTGCTGCTCCCCTCAGCAGTGTATTTCAGTAAATATGCTTTACTCTACCTTTGATGAATCCTCTCGCCTCTGGCCTACACTCCAGTTCTTCTACACAAAAATAAATAAATAAATAAATAAAACAAAAAACAAAAACAGAAAGTACACTGTGTGACTTCCAAGCCTAGGTCAAAAACTAAGATATATCTTTTGTCTGATGCTAATTCTATGACTTTTCCCCTTGCATAATTTCAGGATACTTTCTCCTGAAGCCCTGCAGCCATGTTGTGAGGATGTCCAGGCGATGTGAAGAGTCCTCCAGTAAGGTACCAGCCAAGGCCAGCATCAACTACTAGTTGAGTGAGTCTTGAAATTGTACAGCCCCTAGCCTTCAAGTCATTCCAGCTGACACCAAGTGGTACAGAGATGAGCTTCTGCCATCAATCCCTGCTCAAACTGCAGGTTTGTGAGCAGGATCAATGCCATTGCTTAACGCCAGTACATTTGGAGTTAGTTTATTTTGCAGCCATAACACCTGTATTGCTGAGTCACATGTAAAACCTGTATCTTAGGCTTGGTCACATAGAAACCATTGAAAGCTTCTGCTCTGATGGTTAAACCTCATAATGAATGAACAAGATTATTTTAGACAGAAACTGCTCTGAAGACAGTAAAACAAAGTTATAGGATTGAGTCATTCAAGTTGGGACGGGGGAGGGAAGTGACTTTGGGTAAAGTGGTCAGGGATGGAGCAGGGGAGGAGGAGATATAGGAACTGGGACCTGAGTCATGAAAGATATAGGGAAACAAAATGCCAGGCAGAAGAAAGTGCAAGTGCAAAGGCTCATAAGGCTGGGAAGTTTAATTTGTAAAGGAACAGTGAGGAGGTTGATGTGACTAGAGAGTAAGCAAAGGAGATGCTAGGGGCCCTGATGCTTTTATTATGGCATAAGAAGTACTGGAAGGCACTAAGAAAGGAGAGCAATGGGCTGGGCTGTCTCTCCATTTCCCAGAATCAAGAGAACTTGCTGGCAGCTGGGACAGGAAGAATGAGGGAGAGGAGGAAGATGGTTCCTAACTGCCTAGATGGTGGTGCCGAAAGGAGGGGGTGCAGATAATGCTCAGAAGTGAGGGTCTGCATGAGATGAAACACTGGGAAAGTTCTCAGTGCCTGGGGGATATCTACGTGAAGCTGTCAAGCAATGGTTACTTGACTATATGAGTGTGCAAGTCATTTGGGCTGGGGGTAAAAACCCAGGCATTGTCAGAGTGCAGCCCCGACCAGATAAGACCACACCAAGTGAGAGGAGGTGCAAGAATCAAGCCTTAAAACCCTACATCTGTAGAAATTGGAGAAAAAAGGAGAAACCAGCAAGACAGGAAAAGCTACAACAAAACCGTTAGGAAGTGTGATGTCAGTTGACCATCAGGAATCCGAGAGGCCTCTAGCCCTCAGTGTTTAAGTTCCATGAGAGATTTTCCCCAGAGACTCCAGGGCTGCCCAGGTCCTTAAATTTTTAAACCAGTCATGAAGCTGGGGACATCCTTAGAACAAACATATTTATTCAATCTTCCCTGGGTAAGATTCATTTGAAACCTGATGAAAGTGGAAAGAGAGGCTCTTCCTTGGAAGATGTTCGTAACATCCGTATGTGTTTGGATTTTGTGCAGCTTTGGGGTTGAGAAGGCCTTCCCCAGTCTTTGTTTCATGTAGTAGGTAGCAGATGTACATGAGATGACACCTGTGATATTATGATTTGCTGAAAATACATCTAAAGATTTGTTTATTTATGCATACAAGAACTGGGGTACAGGCCAGAGGTGCAGGGGATGAGAGGATTCACCAGAGACAGAGTGGGGAACAGAACAGGCAGACTGACTGAAATACACTGCTGAGGGGAGCAGTAGGAGAGTCAGGTCTGCTGTGTCATGTGGGTACCTCCCTGGCTGGGGATTGAACTCGTGCTGCAGTAGCTGTGGATAGCTTCATAGGTTGCGTCTTAACCCCTTGCGCCACCAGGGAGGCCCCTGAAAATACATCTATTTGGTCAGATGACCAAAATATGCTTTCATACATATTTAGTCTTCATCCATGGTTCCTGGATCACAGCTCCCCAAAGCCTTTGAACTTCCTAAGCATTAAGGGTGTTGAAAGGTATCTTTTTTTCCCCCAGAAGATTTATTTATTTACGCATACAAGAATCAGGGAACAGCCAGAGGTGTGGGGGGTGAGAGGATTCACCAGAGACAGAGTGGGGAACAGAACAGGCAGATTGACTGAAATACACTGCTGAGGGGAGCAGCAGGCAAGCCAGGAGAGGTCTGCTGTGCCATGTGGGTAAGCTCCCTGGCCAGAGATCGAACTCGTGCTGCAGAGGCTGTGGATAGCTTCATGGGTTGTGTCTTAACCTCTTGCGCCACCAGGGAGGCCCCTGAAAGGTGTCTTTTACTGTGTCAATGGTGACTATTGAAAGCACCAAGGATGGGGCCTGGTTGCCTGGAGAACTAACCTTGTGATGAGAGGGTTGTAACTGGCAGTGCCACCCCCAGGCCTCTGGGGAGGAGAAAGGGGCTGGAGATTGAGCACAGATTAAATCATGGCTGATGATTTAATCATTGTGCCTCTGTAATTCAGCCTTCATAAAAGCCCCAAAGGAGGGTCTTCAGAGCTTCGGGGTTGGTAAACATGTGGAGATTTGGGGGAGAATGATGCCTTCCAGGAGAGGACCTGGTAGCTCCTCGCCCTTTCCTTCTATAGTGCCCTGTTTATCTTTTCCACCTGACTGTTCTTGAGTTGTATCTTTTGCAATAAATAGGTATTCTAGTGAGCTTTCTTGAGAGGTTCTAGCAAATAAGTTGACCTTGAGTAGGCAGGCCAGAAGCTTCTGATCTGTAGCCAGTTGGTGAGAAGCACAGGTAAGAGCCTGGCCTTGTGACTGATGTCTAAAGTGGAGAGTGGTCTTGGGAACCTGACCTAACTTGAAGATCTGACACTGGTATTGTGTCAGAACTAAATTGAATTCTTGGACACTCTGCTGGAGTCTGAGAATTTATCACGTGTTGGTGTGGGAAGGCTCCGCATATTCATTCCACCCACTGGAACTGGGTCCGCAAACCCAATATGACACATTTGTTTCCTACAGAAGTATCAGTGTTGGGGTGGGAGGTGGCTCCCTGCAGTCGGCATTCATGGGGACCAGACCTCATCCTCCCAGTGGCTGAGAATTTGATGCTGATATTGCCCTGTCATCATCCACTGTGTGATCTTTGGTGGCAGGAGCGCACCTCTGTGCCCAAGGGTGGATTACATAACCAAGCAGAGTGAAATAAAATAAAGAGGGGGTAAATTCTTGGATTTGGTTTCTGGCCCAGTAGCTTACCTCTGACCTTGGCAAGTTCTTAACCTTTCTAAGTCCTGGGCTAATGATAGCTCTCTCTTATCAGCTGGGGTGGGGGTGTTCAAGAGGTAAACCAGGGGAGATTGCATAACCATAGCCTGACAGAAATAAATGCTCCAGTCAAGAATGGTCACCCACCTCTCTTCCAAAGAACAAAGCAAGAACCACCTCACAGTCAATAGGATGGCTACCATTAAATTAAAAAAAAAAAAAAAAAGGGTTGGAGAGGATGTGGAGAATTTGGAACTCTTATGCACTGTTGGAGAAATGTAGAATGATGTGTCTGCTAGGGAAAAGCAGGATGGTGGTTCCTTGAAAATTAAAAATAGAACTATCATAAGATCCAGGGATTTCACTTCTAGGTATACGCTCCCAAAATTGAAAACAGAGACTTGAAGTGATATCTGCATACCCAGCATTACTTGCAATGGCCAAAAGATGAATGGATAAACAAAATACGGTTTATATATACATATAATCAACCTTACAAGAAGGAAAACTGTGGACTTCCCCGGTGGCCTAGGGGTTAAGTCTCAGTGCTACCACCATGAAGGCCCACCTTGATGGCCTGAGTTTGATCCCTGGCCAGGGAGCTAACCCACAGGTGGTGTAGCAGACCGCTGCTGTCTTGGGCACTACTCCCACTTTGTCTGGTGAATCCTTACTCCCCGCCTCCACACCTCTGGTCTGCGTCCCATTTCTTCCACAAAAAAATAAATAAAACCTTTCTTTTTATTTTTTTCTTTCTTTCTTTTTTTAAAAGATTTATTTATTTATACAAGCACTGGGTACAGCCAGAGGCACTGGAGGGTGAGAGAATTCACCAGAGCCAGAGCAGAGAGCAGAACAGGCAGACTGACGAAGTACACTGCTGGGGGAAGCAGTGGGCGGCAGGAGAGGTCTGTGTGCCATGTGGGACCCTCGCCTGGCAGCCGGGGATCGAACCAGCGCTGCAGAGGCTGTGGGCAGCTTCACAGTCCAGCGCTCAACCGCTGCACCACCGGGGGACGCCGTAAAACCTTTATTTTTAGAAAAAATGGGGGGCCTCCCTGGTGGAGCATGGGGTTGAGATGCAGTATTATGAAGCTCTCCGCAGCTACTGCAACATGAGTTTGATCCCCGGCCAGGGACATACCCACATGGCACAGCAGACCTCTCCTATCTCACCTGATGCTCCCCAGTCTGTCTCTGATGAATTCTCTCACCCGCCCCCTACCCTGCACCTCTGGCCTACACCCTAGTTCTTGTATGCATAAATAAATAAGCTAAATCTTTAAAGAAATAAAATAAAAATATACATTTTTAAAAAGGCAGAGCAAGAAACTGGGGTTGGGGTTTAAGAACTGAACAAATTAACAAAGATGGAAAATCAGTCTGGGCAAGTGCTTGTGAGAAATAATATATTTTTTTAATTTCTGAAAGTTCCCTTCTTGCCTCACAAGTCCCTCTGGGAAGCTGGTAAGAGCAGTGGACCTTCTGTTCAGAAATACACAGCTTCATATAAAATTTCTGGGACTTCTAAAACCTCAGAGTTACCCACTATCTCCTGCCTGGTTGAACTGCCCAGAGGAAGGGAGAAGCCAGGGACTGTGGATCCTCCTGAAGGGAGGGAAGTGCCCAGGGAGCTGCTGGAGGCTGCAGATTCCCACTTCCATCCTGATGCTGGTGACATGTGGAGGTTGTTTGTAAAAATCCATGGCGCTGTACACTTCTGTATACAACTTGTGCTTATAATGTGTTTATTATATCTGGGAAAAAACTAATCAAAATGCAAAACAACAGATTTTAAGACTCAACCTATTAGAAAAAGCTTTGATAGCAGATACTCTAAAGTGCTGACAGTTGGCATTTCTATGAAATGGGGTCAAGGTCCCCTATATTATGCCAAACACTGCCTTTTACAATCACTATAAATTATTTTGTCACAAGGGGGAAAAATCAGTAAAGATTTTTGAGGTGTTCATAAGGATTTTCCACAATGGCAATGCTCTTTGTCTCTGCAGCACAACACAAAGTCTCCCAGCCAGGTGTGACTATAGAACATAATTAAATTAATTACAGGGAATTTACATTTAAATGGAAATAGCCCCGCGTATTGGACCGTGCCCAGCTAGGGCAGAGCGTAAAGGAGTATTTTGTAATATTTCTTTTACTTTTCTGCAGCTTTGAATGTTATTCAAAATAAATCAATTTTTTAAAAGAGAGTTTAAAGCTTAAAGAAGAGTGACCCCAGCATGGCGGCATTATAAGGTAGCTTTATTAAATTCCTTTACCGTCTATAAATGATTACAAAAGGAATACTTCATTTAGTGTAATACTGTCTTTATGGACGTACCGTGGTTGGAAAGTGGGGTTAAAGGTCATGAATACAATGTGAGAAGAGAATGGAGACACAAGCAGGACCCTGCTGGGTATGGATGGGGAGGAGGGAACACAAGGATAAATATGGACTTATCTGGGGGTGGGGGGTCACTGAGCTGCTTTTTCAAATCTTAAAATAAATGCACCCGCTGGCTCTCTGGGGCCAGGCCCAGAGGCACACAGCTCTTGTACCGCATCTCAACGCTGCAGCTTCCACCAGACACCAGCAGTGGCCCCCAATCAGCTTGGGGTTTGTTTTCTGTCCAATTCTCAACACACACACACAGACACAGACACATTCTCTCTCTTTCTCCTTCATTGACCATCCGTGTTCTTTTGTCTTAGACACATCCCTTCAATCAAAGCCAAAGCAAGCCAAAAAACTCCATCCAGCCAAGATGCCCACTTTGCTTTACTGAATGAAAGACAGCTCTCAGGGCTTGCTCTGTCCTGCTGTGGTCTGGCTTCACCTTTGGAGGCCCAGGAGAGCACTGGGCAAGAGGGCAGGACATCTACTGGCTGGGGATCATGCTCCACCAACCCGCCCCCCACCCCACCCCACCCAGGCATTTTTTGAAATGGAAACGCTCCCTTTTTTTGTCCACAAAAGGAAGGAAGAGGAAAGAAAACTAAGTTGAGATTCCGGGGACAGAACAGACCATGAAGGAAACTGTGTTTGTCTAGCGAGCCTCTTCCAGCAGGCTCCGTTCCAGGTTGTTAAAAAAAGCAGCTGGGCCTTATTTGGTCTTCGGCAAAGCCCTGTCTCTTTAAGTTTGTGCTGGGGAGTCCTCGGGGGCAGCCAACTTTTAATCGTGCACACATGGGTTTTTGGAACTCGCCCTGTGCTTTGCCAACAAGCACATGCCCTGTTTTCTTTTCTTTGAGAAGAGAAATTCTGAAATCTAGGCTGGTAGAGGATGGTCCTGTTACCGGGGTTCTAAGCATAGGTACATAGCAGCCACTCTGGGAACAAGATTAATTTCCTGTGTCTTGAGGTCTGAAGGATTTTCTAGGAAAATTACTATTTGCCAGGGCCTCCGTGAGGGGAGGGGATAGATTTCTGGGTAGTTTCTCCATGTGAACTGCTCACACATCTTGGCTCATGCATCTCAACTACTGGGTCCACCTGAATGGGAGCAACACTGGCAAATGGCCAGCGAGGAGACAGAAGAAAGGATAGAGTTTCCTGCCCTGGGTGATGAGGACAGAATCTGTTTTGTAAAGAGACCAGAAGAAAATTCCCCCAAGAAAGCTGATGGGGGGAGTGGACAAAACACTATTATATACCAGACAATTAAATGTAGGGGGTGAGGGGAGCTCTAAGCCACTTGAGATGCCATCCATACATAATAACATTCAGCATTAAAATGAAAATATGCAGTTCCAGTGACTTTCAAATTGGGCAACAAACAATATGATTTTCCCCCTCCCTCCCCCAGTGATTCAAAAATACGATATTTTTCCCTTTCACCCTCCTCCATCCATAATTGCCAGTTGATTGTTCTCAATGTTCTTCATAAACCCACGCCTCAGCATCAGCCACTGGCGCCAATTTATACAAGAATTTAGCTTTGGTCTGCGTTGCGGCTGCTTTGAACTGGGTTACCAGGAAAACCCACTTTAAGCTGGAGTCTTGTTGCTGTTGAGGCTCCCTCCAGACTTTGAGACTTGCCTTGGAGACTTGGGTCATGGTGGGTAAGAATAGGGGGTAGCCAGGGAGGAGATGAGGGACCTTTCACTCCGGGGCTGGATAGCCCCAAGGAAGGACCCTTACAGCTACTCTTCCGTGAAGGATGATGCAGGACTTTCATCATCTGACATCGGGGCGAACTGAAATAAGAAGCAGAATTCCTTTCGTTCAGCATCCTTTCCATTGCTGACGAGGCACCAACTTTGTTGGCTGCCCTGTGGCTGTGGTGAGTGAGCAAAAGACCCAGTCCCTTGGCCTCAAGGAGGTGACGCTGCAGCAAAGAGGCCTCAGAGAAGCACTGAGCTGCGTGCTGTAAAGGATTTCCCCAGGTAGAAGGAATGAGGGAATAAAGTGGAGAGCGGGGGTCCAACAGGGCTGTCTGAGCTAAATGATGTTGAGGGGTTAATCAAGGGGGCAGAGCAGAGCAGACAGAGGAAATAGCAAGTGCAAAGGCCCTGAAGCAGCTGAGTGAGTGAGGGGAGAGGATGGGGGTGGGCAGGGGAGGGTGGCTTGCAGGGCCTGCTTAGCTTTGGGAAAGAGGCTGTGAGCAGAGGAGGCATGTGCCCTGACTTATGGTCACAGTGACTTCAGCCACTATGGGACTAACAGACTGGGGGTGGAGGGGTCATTGAAGGTGGGAGTCAGAGGCTCAGGGCAGAGGCAACAGCAGGGGTGTAGGTGGACAATGATGGTGGACTAGAATCTGTCCTGCAGGAGTCCTTGGAGACAGGGCTACAGCAGGACATCAAGAGGCCCTATCAGCCTCCCTGGTGGCGCAAAGGGTTAAGCAGAGCACTATGAAGCTATCCGCAGCCTCTGCAGCACGAGTTCCATCACCAGCCGGGGGGCTGACCTACATGACGCACCAGACCTCTCCTGTCTCACCCGCTTCTCCCTCAGCAGTGTATTTCAGTAGATCTGTCTGTTCTGTTCCCCACTCTGTCTCTGGTGAATCCTCTCACCCCCTACACCTCTGGCCTGTACCCCAGTTCTTAAATGCATACATAAATCAATCTTAAAAAAGAGAGGCCCTATCACCCCCATCTTCTAGTTGAGGAAACCAAGGCCCAGGTAATCCCTGGGTGACCCTCAATACCACACCAGTTATCCTGACACTCTGGGAAGTGAAGCTGGAAAGTCTCAGCTTCAGTAAGAACTTAGGAGCCAGAAGAGAGATGATGGCTTATGTCCCAGCACCTTCTCTCTCCTGGACTGTTTGGGGAGTTGCATGCCACTCTTGAACCCATAAGGTCAGAGCAAGTAAAAGATGGGGGTGAGGCAGAGGGAGCAGCAATGTTTCTGTCTAAGGTCCAGAGTCAGGCCATAGGGCCTCCATCCCTTCTTGGCTATGAGGCCTTGAACCAGGGATGTAACATCTCTATGCCTTAGTTTCCTCACCTGAAAATGGAAATTGTAAAGGTATTTATGCAACCTAATGGGATTACTGTAGAGGTTCAAAAGACTATCCCTGCGAGTACTTAGTATACAGCCATCAGACTGGAAGGGCTTGTCTCCCCCACCAGATAACGATGTCACTCTGGGGACCTGTGAGGAGTGTCTGTCTCCCCCATCAGACTGGAAGGGGCTGTCTCATCCACCAGGCACTTAGTACATTCTCCTAGTATGTTTTCAGAAGAATATTTTGCTAACAGGTGTGATTTTTCTAAAACCCAGATTTCTGTAATCAGATGCAGAAATGCTGAGTTAGACACAGGTTAATTTTCTTTAAATAAAGTGAGACTTCTCAGGCCTTTAATACAGTGAGTGGCATACCTCAAGTAGAAGTCACATCCTCACCGTGGCCCGCAAGGCCTTTCATGGCTGACCTGCGGCAATACCTCCTTGGACTCATCCCCTCCCCTGGGTTCCTACATCTCCTTAAGCATACTAGGTGTGCTCCTGCCCCAAGGCCTTTGCTCTCGCTGCTCCTGCTGCTGGAGAGTCACAGTACTTGCTCCCTTACTTCCTCAAGTGTTGACTACAACATCATGCTTTGCTGAGGTCTAATATAGCTTCTCTGTTACCTGTTGTCCCTTATCACTTGTTTTTTATTTCTCCCCAGCATAACCTGTCTCTTGTGTCTCTTACTAAAATGTCCATTCTATGAGGACATAAATTTTTTTCTGTTTGGTTCACGGTGGTGACCAACCAGGACTCAAACATGGCCTCTGTAAATATTTCTCGAAGGAGTGAGCAGTGATGAGAAATGCTTCTGGAACCAGACAATCTGGGTTCCAATACTGTTATGTTAACCATGACTACACAGACCCTCTGCCCCACTTCCTCATGGGGCCATGAGGGTACAACAAGCATGGGCCCCCTGCACCATTAGCTCTTCATAATAATTTATCCCACCCAGGGCCGGGACTCACCGAGCACTTGATGTTCATGTGGGAATACAGCATGGACGCAATCTCACTCTGCCCTGCGTCCAAGGCCACCATCAAAGCGGTGCTCCCGTCCTGCAAAGCATCCACTGCTATGACAACAGCCCTGGCAGCGCTCCCGCCCTGCCCCGGGATGCACCTGGATGGGGACTCACATGATCAGTGAGCGAGATGTTGCAACTGGGTACGGCCAGCAGCAGCCCTGTGATCTCCTTGTGGCCGTGTTCACAGGCGCACATGAGGGCAGTGGAGCCGTCATCATCCTGTACATTGACGTCTGCCTCACAGGCCAGCAGCGCTTTGACCACGTCCACCCGCCCGTGGCTGACTGCCAGCATCAGGGCTGTCTGCCCTGCCTGGGCAGAGTAAGAAACAGGATTACAGACCATGCACGCCCCAAGGCATGGCACCCCTGGTTTTGGGGGCTCCTGAGCACTGATACAGATGGCACCCTAACTCATTCTCTGCACCTCAAATCGTCCCTTCCATCACCAGGCCGTTGCACTTACTGGTTCCTGCCCTCCCCATCTCCATATCTCTAAAGTCTCAGTTTCAGGATCTTTCCCTCAGGAAGGTCTATTTGCCTACCCACTCCCATGAACACCTAAAGCGGGTTCCTAACTCAAAGGCGGAAACGTGTAAAAATTTATCAAGCTAAGATTTAGACACTCTTCTGGATGTCAGTTAAATCTCATTAAAAATTAAATCAATATTGGTCCTCCCCCATGGCGCAGTGGGTTGAGCGCAGTGCTGTGAAGCTGTCCACAGCCTCTATAGTGTGGGTTCGATTTCTGGCCGGCCACGGAGAAACCTCTCCTGTCTTGCCCACTGCTCCCCTCAGCAGTGTTTTCAGTCTGTCTGCCTGTTCTGCTCCTCCCTCTCTCTCTGGTGAATTCTCTCACCTTCCCACGCTTCTGGCCTGTACCCCAGTTCTTGTATAAATAAAAAAAAAATTAAATTGGGGCCTCCCTGGTGGCGTAAGAGTTAAGACGCAACCTATGAAGCATCTGTAGCCACTGTAGCACGAGTTTGATTCCTGGCCAGCCAGGGAGGCAACCCACATGGCACAGCAGACCTCTCCTGACTCGCCCCGCTGCTCCCCTCAGCAGTGTACGTCGGTCAATCTGCCTGTTCTGTTCCCCACTCTGTCTCTGGTGAATCTTCTCACCCCCCACACACACCTCTGGCCTGTACCCCACTCTTGTATGCATAAATAAATAAATCTTAAAAAAAATTAAATCAATGTTTATCAATGGATGAATGGGTAAACACCATGGTATTATCCAGACCACAGAATACTATTCAGCTTTAAAAAGAAATGTAGGGAGCCTTCCTGGTGGCACAAGCATCAGCACTATGAAGCTGTCCTCAGCCACGTAGCACGAGCTTGATCCCCGGCCAGGGAGGTGACCCATATGGTGCAGCAGACCCCTCCTGACTCGCCTGCTGCTCCCCTCAGCAGTGTATTTCAGTCTGCCTGCCTGTTCTGTTCCCCACTCTGTCTCTGGCGAATCCTCCTGCACCTCTGGCCTGTACCCCAGTTCTTGTATGCATAAATAAATAAATCTTAAAAAAAAAATGTAGCGCTGATGTTCACTGCTATGTGAGGAACCCTGAGGCTGTGCTCAGTGACACATAGACATAGAAAGCACAGGCTATAGCCACACTACCTTCACAGGGCGGCCTTCTGAGAGATACATCGGTGGGTGACTTCATTGCTATGTGCCTTTGACCATGTGCAAACACTGTACAATCAGGATGGTAGAGCCAGCTGCACACCAGGCTAGAGGTGTGGCCTGGTGGGCCCACCATCGCCTATGCAGCCTGCTGCTGACTGAAATGTCACTAAATGACACATGACTGTATGTGATGTTACTTGTATGAAATACCCTGGATAGGTAAACCTATAGGAACAGAAAGCAGACTGGTGGCTTCCAGGAGTTGGGGGAAGGCATAAGGGGGAGTGACTGTTAATGGGTACAGGTTTCTTTTAGGGTGATGGGGACATTATGGAAACAGATGGAGGTGATGGCTGTGCAACACTGTGAATCTACTAAATGCCACTGAACTGGGTACTTGAAAAAGGCTAATTTTATGTAAACTTCATCTCAATTTTAAAAAATGTAAACCACTACAATTTTATTTTTAAATTAAAAGTAATGAAAGCAACATAAAAGCAATCAGGGCCCGTTCCTATGATGTGCCACTGCAGCTCCCTGCTTTTCATTATGGAATTCAGGCTGTTGCAAGTCCCTCCCCAAACTGCTGTCCCCACCAGGTCCTGGTTGTCCTGCTTTTCTGGATATCCTTCTACACTCCTGTCAACTTCCTAGTCTCTCAGCTTCTGCTCCCCAACACACAGTCAAAGGGAGATTTCATATCAGAAAGCAGGCCATGCTGTTGCCCTCCTGAAATGCCACTGGAGTTTCCTGGAGCCCCTGAGTCCAAACCCATTCCCAGCTCTCATGCTCACAGTTCCTGAAGCTCCTGGCTGGCTAGTGACAACTGACCATCATTTGAGTCTGCAGTGTCCAATTGCTGCTCAACAAATTACCAAGCAGAATGTGCAACAGTGTTGGATTAAGAAACTCCCACAGCAACTCCCTACCCTGCCTTTTCCACCAGAAGGGCCTACGTCAGAAGCAGCCATGCAGGTCAATAACAGGGACTCTGGAGGTGACCACCTGGGTTCAAATCCTCTCCTCTAGTTTGACTTTGAGGAAATGACTGCCTCTCTGAATCTCTGAGTATGAACCTCACTTTCCCCATCTGTGGGATGGGGATGCTTCCCCTGGGCATGGAACAAGACAACATTTGGGCTTGGTGCACAGCCAGGACTTAATAAGCAGGAGGGGAAGCCTGCTCTGTAGTGTTGGGGGCCTGTACCTGGCTGGCTTTGGCATTGACATCTCCAAGTCGGAAGAGCTGTAGGACAGTCTCAATGTCATCCTGGGTTCTCAGGGTGGCCAGGGCGGTGAGCATGATGGGGCTGTAGCCAGCACGGTTTTGCTTGTCCACCTGGCAGACACCTGCAGGGGGAGGCGGGAGCAGGTGACATGAGCCCTCCGGCCCCACAGATACCAGCAGATCTGCCACAAAGCTGTGTGTGTGTGGCGGGCACACTGAGGACTGGGCATCTCCTCCACTCTACCCCACTGACTTCCAGGCCTCCCCTCTCCTCCATTAGTCCAGGTATGCTCTTGTTCCTCCCTTTTCTGACTGAGAACCCCATTCTACTCCAGGGTCTTCATCTCCATTGCGGCACCACAGGAGATGGGGGGCTCCTAAAGATGGAGACTGCCTCCTCTATCAGACTGGCATCCCCCGACAATGGCACCCACATTTAGGGCTGGCAGTCAGAGCTCTGTCTCCCCATTAACCTGGGAGAGCAAATTCCTTTCTGCTTCCTCTCGGAATATGGACTCTACCTCCTCCATCAGACTGGGAGAGCAGTGTCTCCCCTGTCAGGCTCTGGCAGTGGCATTTCCCCCATTAGACTAGGAAGAGAGCAATGTCTTCTCCATCAGCCCATCAGCCCAGGTGATAGCTGGCAGCCTTGCTCAGGCCCCTGGTTCTGCCCGAGCTCACCGCTGTCCAGCAGCTGCCGCACCACAGGGAAGTTGGCGTGAGACACGGAGTAGTGCAGCGCCGTGTTGCCATTACTGTCGGCGATGTTGACCACGTAGTCCAGCAGCCGCACCGACATGGCCCTGAACGTGACAAGGTGGCGCCGCACGAGTTCGGGGTGGGCGTCGCTGCGGCAGGCCAGGCGCAGCCACTCCTGTAGCACTGTAGTGTAGGCCACTTTCTGGACGCAGGCAGGGGAGGAGAGGGGTGTGAGCGGGCAGTGGGATGCCCCCTCCCAGACAATGGCCCAAGAGGGCAGTGTGGACACCCCTGTTCTGAACCAGACCCTTAAAGGGGAAGTGTGGGCACCCCACCCCAGAGGACTCTCCTGGAGCAAAGTGCAGTATCCCCACAAAGGGAAATAGACATTGGAATCCCAGATATGCCCCCAGAGGGGGTGAGCATGTCCCTCCTGAGTATGACCTTCAAAGGCAAGTTCAGACACCATAAGGGGAAAGATAGCAGCCCCTTCCCTCAAGCCCCCTATAGAGCAAAAATCAAGGCCAGGTTTTCGGGCAGGTGATTATCTTCTAGCATCTCTCTAAGGTCCAAGATTTAAGTACTGCCCACCCCCAAATTCCCAGTTTGGATCCTCAGGTCCCCACAAGGCAGGCAAGGGACACACTATGGGTGAGGAGAAACCACTGTGAAGGTGGAGGGGAAGGAGTATCCCCCAGGCCCAGGGCCCTTCCATACCAGCTCCCTCTCAGTAAGAGCGTTGGGATTGTCCAGGTACTTTTCCAGGGACAGGCAAGCTGAGACAAGGTCTGGGCTTAGCTCCATCCTGCCGGGGACACACAAGTGGGAAGTTTATCATGGAAGCACCCACCTCAGCCTCCTGGGTGACCCCATTCCCACATCCAAAAGGGACGTTGGAGATGCTCTCCACCATAGCATTCACCGGTCCTGCCAGGGTTCATCTGAATGGTAAAGCCTCAGATTCCCTTCATCAGAGACATATCTTTACATTGTACCCAAAGAGGCAGATATAGGAAAACACAAGACCCAAGAGAAAGTGGATCCGAATTTATTCCAAGTGGCCCAAGAGCAGATTTTTCATCAAGAAATAAAAGGGATATAAATAGGGTGGACAGGGGGGACAAATGTCCCAAAGAAGATGGGGAGCTTAAGGACAAACTGCCTGGCTCCCAAATCTTAACTCCAACAGCCCTGATTTCCCTCATTAAGGCCTTTATCAAAGACTCTAGACCTTCAGATGTCCTGAATGAGATAGTGTTTGTTCACTAATTCAGACTAAGGTGCGCATGACTGATGGGAGGTTCCCTCAGAAGGTTTGAATGGTGGGAGTTGAGGCAGACATTCACATCTCTGCCTGAATTCCTTTTGCCCAGAAAACTGACCGGATCTCCTCCTCTGCATTTGATGCCGATGCTCCCTCAGTTGTGGACACCTGCTTTGACTCCGGAGATAGTTGGCACTCCTGCTGGCTGGTCTTGGCCACTGTTGTCCCAGAAGGCCTGAGGGGGACTTCAGCCACACTTGAAACCCTGTCTTCTGGCTCTGGGGCCTCATTCTCTGTGCTCTCGTTGTCTGAGAAGTTCTCTGCTGTGCTGGAGTCCTCAGAAGAGGACTCATATCTGGGAGGAAGTAATGGTTGGGAGAGGGAGATGCTGCAGTTGGGATGGGTCGGGGTGGGGAAGGGGCAACGGGCTCTGAGTACTTAACCTGTTAAATGGGGATAATGGCACTATGGACTTCACAGGGCTGGAGGGATGTGGTTTATGGCGCCTGGGCACAGTGAACGCCATCTGTTCTGGGTGGGAGGCAAGTGAGGATGTTGCTTTTCACCTTCTATATTTCAATAACTCTTACCCTGTGCCCCTTAAATAGTTATTACTATTCACACTCTTGTCCCACAATGCTTCTTGTACCTTTGGACAAAGTCTAGGCTTCCGGACTTGGCATTCAAGGCCCAAACTGTCCCTGATATTTGTTCCTCTTGCCTCTAGTTTCTCATCTCTGAGCGTTTATCTAGGATGTGCCCTCCACCAGGAGAGCCTCCCTACACCCAGTTTTTCCCCTTGCTAGCACCTGTTTGTCCTGCAGCTCATGTCCCCTCCTTTAGTAATGTCCCTGGGGTCATCAACACCTCTTAGTCACTCACTGCCTGACCACCTTCATCACTGCTCTGACCTCACTGTGTTGTAACCAGAACTACCCACCAAAGTCCATCATCCAACCGGGATGGGAGCTCGAGCAGGACAGGGAGCTGTCTGGTACATTCTGAGGGGTTCTGCAGTAGTGACAGCACAGGCTCTGAAGCCAGTTCCCCAAGGCAGACCCAGGGTTGCTGTGAGCTCTAGCAAGGCACACAGACTCACTGTACCTTGTTTCCTCATCTGTTTACTGTTCTTTGGTTAAATGAATGATTCAAAGCGAGGGGTTTAGAAGAGGTCCTTGGTATGTTCTTGGGCACAAATAAATCAAGGAACAAACAGGAGGGCCAATGTTAAGGAAAGGGCGGGGAGCATGAGAAGGGGGCTCCTCTTACCCGCCATTGACCCCCACGAACTGGAGGCTCCTCCTGCGGACTGCAGGGTCTGCGGGCTCCTCTTTCCTCTTCATGATGGACCGCACCCCTGTCTGGGGCCTGCATGCTGGGAGGCATGGAGTTATTAGGGTCTCCCAGAGCCAGACCCCACACCCAGGCCTCTGGGTGCCCCTGCCCTCTCAGCAGCTACCACTCACCTGTACCCCCTGTCACTTCCAACTCGCATGAGGCTGCTTGCCTAGTGGGCTCCCTGTTGGTGGCATCACTGGTGGGCAACTGCCCTACGTTCTTTTCTGGCTGAGCCGACGAGGATGCTGTAGACTCTGGGGTTGATGAGGCCAACTCTACAGGAGACTGCGGGAAACCTGGAGGGGTAAGAAAAGAGGCAGGTGCTGTGGATAATAACAGAAAAATAGTTGGTTCTTGGCATGGGGGGGTGGGGTGGGGGTTGTGTGTCACATACCCTGACTATGTGTTCCAAAGACTAAGTCTTGCATTCCTCCATCCAATCTTCCCAGCCCAAGAAAACATCAGATTGTCACAAATGAGGAAACTGTGGCACAGATGGTTGCCATAGGTCACCCAGTAAGTGAGTAGCAGAATGGTTCAAACTGTGCTTTTTTTGCCTGCCCCACAGCTAGTCAGGGACAGGGAGGACCCTGCGAACCCACCATCCCAGCTTGTGACACCCCTCCAATGTCAAACCTTGTCTGGAAATGAGTGGTTGAAAGATCATGGTCACCATGTTTCCCAGGAAAGAGCTGTGTGACCTCAGGCAAGTGATATAACCTCTCTATGCCTCAGGCAAGTGTCATTTCCAACTGGCCGGTGGGTGGACAGACTAAAGACAGTAACTGGGGGAAAGGGCTGAGAACAATGCGGGCTCAAGGAGCATCTGTTAATTCAAGAGAATTGTCAATCTATATTTAAATGAGACTTAATATCATGACTTTTTAAAACAAAAACAAGACCTTTAACAAAAGGGCTATGTTCTGCATATCATTTTGTATCCGGCTTCCGTACTTAACATTAAGCAGATGTTGCTTTAATAATCAGGAAAAAGAAACAATTAGAGCAAATGGAAAATGAATATGAAAACCCCGCCTGGGTACAGTTTCAGATTTGGGAAGATGGAAAAGTTCTGGAGGTGATGGTGGTGACAGCTGCACGGCAGTGTGGATATGTCGGTGCCTCTGAACTGGACACTGAAACATGGTGAAATGGTTGAACTTTATGTTACCTATATTTTAACACAGTTGAGGGGGGGAACCCCACCCATTTTATTCTGAGGACAAAGTGTCTTCCTGGTACCAGGCCCTGAGGGTACCCACTGCCCACTGGGGTCTCTGGGGAACCCTGATCACTAGCCTGGAGCCAGGCACGGGAGGCTAACACTACTCTGAACGGCTGCCCATGCCTGGTAAAGCACTCAGATGCCTCCAGGCCACATGTGGCTCCTGTGTCACCACTTCCCCAGGAAGTCCCCTTCCTGCCACTGGCCATGGGCTCTGAATACCAATTATTTTTAATTCCTTGAATGGTTAAATTATTATTTTTTAAATGCACAGCAACTGCTTCCTCGAGTCCATAGGCAACACTCAACTTTAGTTAACAGGGAGTAAATACTCAGTGCAGATAAAGAACCTAGAACAAAAGAGACACATGGTATCTGACAGCACACTAGTCCACGGTGGGGCCAGCTCAGGCTTGAGTTCTCCTGGGGCACCAAGAGCAAACGCTGGGTTTCCGTGTGAATCTCCTGTTTTTTTTTTTTTTTAAACCTTGTCAATAAATTCACCAAACCAACCCACCAACTGACACCCAAACCCTGTGTGACTAAGTGGAATGTGTCAGGAGGCAAAGGGGCCAGTTCCCATTCTTCATGTCTGTCCCAAATGCAGGGCCCCTGATTTGAAAACCTGGGAGGGATCCTAGGTTTCAGCACCAAAAACAAGCAAACAATCCAACCCCTCCCGCATAAAAACAAAACAATAGAATCCTGGAGAAAAAACACCCAGATGTGTGAAAAACCAGGGGAAGCAACATTATGCTAATAAGGCATTTATAAAAGGATAAAAATCGGCATGATTCCACTTAAATGAGGTCCCCAGAGGAGTCAGAAATGGAATGGTGGCTGCCAGGGGCTGGAGAGGGGAGGGGGGATTGGTGTTGATGGAGAGTTTCAGTTGGGGAACATGGGAAAGTGCTGCGGATGGCTGCACAGCAGCGTGAATGTGCTTAATGCCACTGAGCAAGAGTTAAAAATGGCCATAATGGTAAGTTTGATATTATATGTATTTTAGTGCAATTTTCAAAAAGAAATAAAGTAAATAACATTGAGACCCATTGTGCCTCAAGGGAAAGGCCTTGCCTCTAAAGGCTTGTATGGCCCCTCCCAGCCTGAAGAGTTCAGGTTAGACACTGAAACGCTGAAATAGCAGTGATAATATTTATTATTGCTATTCCACTGGAAAATGGGGTAAACAAATAGCAAAACTGAAGTCCATTAAGAGCTAAGACAATTTCACAGAAAAGAGCAGAGCTGGCCTACAAGACAGTACAACATATTCCATGGTCATGACCATTGAAACAGCAGGGCACTATTTCAGGAAGAAATGGGCCAAAGGAAGGGAGAAGGCTCTGGAAGGGGGACTTCCACAAATTAGTGGTGGAAGACAGAGGGGTTCCACAAATTAGTGGTGAAGAGTGGGCTCTATGGTGTGATATTGGGAAAAGCAGCTTATTCTACCCAACAAAAGTCAAGTTGGACCCTTACCTCATGCCTTACTGCACAAAATAGATCAGGAAGGATTAACGTGAAAGTACCACTTTATAGCTCAAGGAAGGAGGGGTAGCAGGAGACTGGAGGCCTCAGGAAGAGGAAAGATGCCTTTAAAAAATTCCTCAAAGCACAAACGATATATGAAAATATGAGATAATCTTACTTACACGTGAAGTTGAAAAAAAAAAAAAAACAAGCCAGCTCAGAGACAGAGAACAGATAGGTGGAGTCAGAGGTGGGGGTTGGGGAGATGGGTGCCAGGGATCTAAAGGTACAAACTTCCAGTTATAAGAGAAATCAATCTTATAATGTATTGACTGAAAAATTTTAAGATTGTACATTATAATCATGTAATGTACAGCATGCTGACCATAGTTATGAAAACTGTACTGTATATTTGAAAATTGCCAAGGGAGATCTTAAAAGTTCTCATCCCAAGAAAAATAACTGCAACCAGCTGTGAGGGAACGGACGCTAAGGAGGTTGCTGTGCTGATCACCTCAGCAGGCACATGTGCTGAGCCACAGCGCAGGGCTCCTGAAACTAAGGCAATGTTTCATGTTGTTACATCACAACACTTGAAATCAAATGTTTTAGGGCCTCCCTGGTGGCACAAGGGTGTAAGTCTCACACTTTGAAGCTATTGGCAGCCTCTGCAGCACGAGTTGAATCTCTGGCCAAGGAGCTACCCACATGGTGCAGCAGACCTCTCCTGTCTCGCCCGCTGCTTCCCTCAGCAGTGTATTTCAGTAGATCTGCCTATTCTGCTCCCCACTCTCTCTGGTGAATCCTCTCACCTCCCGCACCTCTGGCCTACACCCCAGCTCTTGTATGCATAAATAAAATAAATCTTAAAAAAAAAGAAGTCAGGGCATCCCCTGGAGGCACAGAGGTTGAGCACTGGGCTGCAAGGTTGCCTGCAGCCTCTGCAGTGCCGGTTCGATCCCCAGCCGCCAGCGAGGGTCCCACATGGTGTGACAGACCTCTCCTGCCATGCCTGCTGCTCCCCTCAGCAGTGTATTTCATCAGTCTGCCTTTTCTGTTCCCTGCTCTGGCTCTGGTGAATTCTCTCACCCTCCCGCGCTTCTGACTGTACCCAGTGCTTGTATAAATAAATAAATAAATCTTTAAAAAAATATATCAAACATTTGAAAAGAAAAACACTATATCCAGGGCCTCCTTATTGGCACAAGGATTTAAGAGGCAACCTATGAAGCTATCACAGCCACTGCAGCACGAGCTCAATCCCCGGCCAGGGAGCAACCCACATAGCGCAGCAGACCTCTCCTGACTTGCCCGCTGCTCCCCTCAGCAGTGTATTTCCATCGATCTGCCTGTTCTGTTCCCCATGGCACCTATGGCCTGTACCCCAGTTCTTGCATGCATAAACCTTAAAAAAAAAAAAAAAACACAGCTTAAAAAAAAAAAGAAAAATACTATATCCAATACGAAGATTCCTATTTGATTAGAAATGGGGGGAAATACTCACAATGCCAAAAATGGGCAAGAAGTTATCTTCTAGGACAGGAGTCAACACACTTTTTCTGTTAAGGGCCAGATAATAAATAATTTTGACTATGTGGGCCATAAGGTCTCAGTCACAAATAGTGCAAAAGTAGCCACAGATAGCAGGGAAGCGAATGGGCATGGCTGTATTCTACAAAAATGTGAATTTCCTGTAATTTTGCTCGTGTTGCAAAATGTTTTTCTTCTCATATTGTTCAACTGTGTAAAAACAGAAAAACCATTCTTAGCTTGAGGACCATATGAAAACAGGCAGCAGCCTGAATTTGGCCCACAGGCTATCATTTGTCAGTCCATTTCTGGAACTTGAGAAAATGGACAAAGATTACACATAAGTGATATACAGGGGAATCTGTTCAAAATACATAGTGGTACCCTAGCCCACCAGAAATCAAAGAAACGTAAATTAAAACAAGGGGACTGCATTTTGTACCAGCATCAAATGGACAAAAAATTATTAAGAGATAAAACTGTATATTGGTGGAATGTGGGCACCGTGGACCCAAGTGGGGTGTGGATAGGGAGAGGTTTTCAGAGAGGACCAGACAGAGCTTAGAGTGAAAGTGTGTCTCCTGTGACCCAGTGACCCCCCAGGAGGGGCTAGGTAAGGATACCGCAGCACTGTAGATGGCAGCCAGCAGCTGGAAATACCCAGCTGCCAGCCATGGGGTGAGGGGTGGGGATTGGTTAAGAAAAATGAACTCATACCTAGGGCAGCTGTTAAAAGTTATAAACCAGATTTATAAACATCAATGTGGAGAGTTCAAAAATAGTGTGTAGCAAGGAAAAAATAAAAAACAGAATGCGATTTTGTTTTTCTGAAACACAATACCATTTTAGGAAATTAAACACACAGAGGGCATTTTTTCAAGGACAACCAAATATCTAAGCAAGCATCTGGAAGGTGGATTGCAAGGAATGGTATTACATGGGGTGGGGTGTGTATGAATGGCATAGAATAGAGGTTGGCAAACAATGGTCTGTGGGCACTATTTTTAAATGGTTCTGACAAAGTTAAAAGACGTGTTCTATCTGGGACATATGAAAATTACATGAAATCGAAATTTCAGTGTTCACACAAAGTTCTATTGGCACATGGCCACACTTGTGTGAACTTAAGTATGAGAATCAGTATCAGACAATGCCCTGGTGGAAGTAAGGGCTGTTAAGCTGCTTTTGAAAATAAAACAGCAAATTCCGTCAGTTTTGTGTTGCCAGACTTGAAAACTACATACTCTTTTCTGCATTAAAAGATTCGGAAGGAAAGAGGCAAAAGTGTTGATAGCAGCTGACAGTGCTGGGCTCATGGGGATTTTATTTTCTGTTCTAGATTTTTCAGTACTTTCCAAACCTTCCACAAAGAATATGAATTGCTTTTATAGGGATATATTTTGAACAAGAGTAGAGGAAATTTCAAAGTCTTGGTGAGACCTCACAGGCACTTTTGCTGGCTATCACGTCTCTGGGTCATCTCTCTGTGGTACCTTTACCCGGGGCCCTATGTGGTGTGGTCTCCAAGCCTCCAGCTGGCCCCACCTACTTTTGCCAGGCTGAGGGGGAAGGTGGCCTCCCTCACTCCCAGGTGTAGTGAGTGAATTCTAATGCAGGGAAGTTGGGCGTCTCCCTACATCCTCCTCCAGGGAGCTCTCCCTGACTTACCCATTGGGCTGACAGTTCTTGTCCTATCTTTTTTCATTTCCATGCTGCTCATCCCAAGTCTGTAGCCCTGGGCACCCACCCCTGATGCGCAGGCTCCGCTAACCCTCAATTCTTCTACCTCCAACTATTCCAGTTCAAAATCTTAAAGACGCTTCTCACCTCAGGACCTTTGGCCCTGCTGTGTGCCCCCTCCAGTTACACACTTCTTACCACCTCTTTACCACTCTTCCCAGAGTTTCAGATCTGGCTGCCTCTTTCCTTACCCTTACTGTTCAAAAAACCATCACTTAACCCTTAAATACCTATTGCGTGCAGGAGCTACACTGGACTAGACATAAGCTGACACATTTAAGCCTCACACTTATTTAATGGCATTGGCTGCCAGGTTCCCTGATTTGCAAAGAGGCACAGAAAGGTTAAATATCTTGCTGAAAGCACAGAGGTAGGGAGCAGGGAAACCAGAATTTGAACCCAGGTGACCACCTCATTCACCCCCTGTCTGCTTTATTAGCTTTAGGCATGTAGTCTCTGAGATGCTATTTCTATAACCTATTTATCACAGTTGCTTGTTTATTTTGGGGGGCTTTTGTTCGTCTTGTTCACTGCTGCATCCCCATTATCTACAGGTCTAGCACAGAGCAGAAACATTTGCTGAGTGAGAAGGTATGAAATGAGTTAGTGCACCCCAGTTTTACCTGAGCAAGGCAGAGACTGGGGCGGCTATAGCAAGAGGGAGTTAAGTGACACACAGGAAGAACTTTCAGGACCTTGTGTGGCCTGCAGGCAGGAGGCCCCGGGCTGCCCCTGGAGGCATGTCTGGAATGGAGGCTGCCTCTCAGCGATCCAGAGCTTGGGCCGGGGTGGTGCCCCTGGCTGGGGGCCAGAGTCACAGGGCTGGGTGTTTGGGATGGATGCAGAACAGAGGGTGGTGCCCAGAGCTGGCCAGGAACAACATGGGGGAGGCAAGAAGACACAGTTGGGTGCAAGCCCTCAAGCTTGTACCCTTGGGTCCGTTGGTGGGGCTCTGGTCACTTGACCAGATTTTTTGGTACTTTCCCAACCTGGACCCACCTTTGGGCCCTATTGCAGGTTCATGCTGAGCTGGGTTTCCAACATGGCTTGGCCATTACCTGGTTGTATGGCACTGAGCAAGTGAAACTTCTTCCTCAGACTCAGTTTCCCTAACCATTAACTTGGAAATAATCATCAAAAGCAGTAAAAAGCACTGATTGAGTGTACTGTGTAACTAAGAGTCCTCAAGGTGGAGACCAACATTATCCCACTTCACAGATAGGGAAGCTGAGGCCCAGAGAAGTGAAGTCACTCACCCAGGGAAACACAGCACAAGAAGAAGAGTCTGAACCTAGGTCACCTGGCTGCACAGTCAACCCTCTTTAGGTCCTCTGTGGGTGAAACACTCAGCACGGGATCAGGCACCAGACTGGTGTTCATTTGACAAAGAACAGCTGTTATTATTATGAATCATACTGGTAGCTTCCCCCAGGGGCCTGAGGACAGTGGGGGTGGGCGGCAGCTGCCATTCTGCACACCCCACATCCCCTTTCCCAGCATGACGACTCAGCACTTCCTGCATGGTACACCCCCTTCCTCCCTCAAAGATCACAGGACTTGGGTGGGGCTTCCCTGCCTGCAGGATCCAGGACTAGGCAATGCGGGACATAAAGATTGACTCAGCGATGGGCATGTGACCCAAGCCAGTCAGTGAGGGTCACCACAGGATTTTTATTGATACTATTTGGGCTGAGATGCCCTCTCCGGTGAGCTACAGGAATAGAGGCTGGAGTGATGGGGCTACCTTCTACCTGCCCGAAAGAGAAGCCTCAGATAAAAAGAAAGTTAAATTCTTCATGATAGTGGAGCACCTGAATCCAGCTATGCATGAAGCTATCACTAAATGACTTGAACAATACATTTCCCTTCTGAGATGGGTTCCAGCCACTTACTAAACAGATAAACAGCGTTTTTTTTTTTTTCCCAGCAAACTGACAATCTTGGGGACCCTCTTCCAAATACCTGTTTTCTGAACACTTAAAATGTGCTAGACATGAGGCCACACACAGATACCAAATTTGTCTGCAAGATCCCTAGAGCAGCAAGTTGGTGACATAACTGATCCCTTTTTACAGATGAAGAAACAGAGGCCCCGAGGACTGGAGTGGTCCTCCTAGTGGAAGGCCAGGGGTAGGGCTGAGCCCTAACATTTTGAGGAAAAAAGACCCTTCACTGTCTTCCCCTGCCTGCCAGAGCTCACCTGTTGCTGCACTGCAGCCACGCTCCGTGATACTGATCTTCTTTACCAGGTGGATGTTGCCAGTGGACACGGTGGATGTTGGGAATGCCGTCTCCACTACTTCATGGCTTCGGAACACAGTAGGGCTTTCGGCCCCTCCTGATGTTGCTAGGGCCCGCAGCCCTGCCCCGTAGGACTCCAGATTCTGGGCCCGTTGTGCAGGGGCCCCAGCAGCTATGCTGGCTGCCACTTCTACCTCCCTCGGCCCCTCCACCACCCGGACAGTGTCCACTCGGACTGGGCCGTCTGGCGGTGGCCAAGCCTGGGGCTGCAGATTGGCCTGCTGGGCCTGAGCTGCTTGCAGCTCCTGGAGTGCTTTCTTGAGCTGGGTCTCCAGCACAGCAACCTTGGCAGCAAGGGCTGCCTCTCCATCAGGCATGCCCAAGTCCCGCTCACGGACCCAGGTGCCCACACTCCGGGTTTCAAGTGCCATCGGGTCCTCAGGGGGGTCAGGGAGGTCCAAGGAGAGCTCATTGCGGCCCCGAGCCCCAGAGGGGTGGCCCAGGAATTTTTGGCTCTTGAGCTGTACAGTGAGCTGCCTCTTCTCCTCCTGCAGCACCGACAGCTTCACCTGGAGCACAGGGATCAGCTTCACCTGTTCCTCCAGCTGCCGAAGCTTCCGTAGGGCACCTGCCATCTGCTCCCGAACGTGGGCCAGGTGCCCAGCGCTGGGCGGCACTGGTGTGGACAGTCCCGAACCCCGTGGTGTCGGAGGAGGCAGCCCTACACCCACCAGTGAGCTCGTTGAGCCTGCTGCGCTGGGGGTCAGGGACCCCAGGCTGGTGGGTGCCGCCGCCTGGTCCTCCAGGCGGCGACGAGCATCCAGTAGTGTGCGCTCCACACGCGGATTGAAGCCACCACCACGGGTCTCCAGGGCGCCATACTGTGGGTAGAAGCCACGGCCGCAGTAGGAGTAGGCAGAGTGGCGGCTGTCCCCACTGGCATTGGAGCATAGCGACTCGGTGGATGTCCACCAGGAGCCTGGGCCTCGGGGCAGTGAGCCCAGGCGGGGCCGACGCTGCACAGCCACACGCCGCAGTGTGTGGCCCTTCTCGATGTCATCCACGTACTTGAGGAAGTCCAGGTCGAGGCGGTAGCCATAGGGCGTCTCCACAGAGTAGGGAGGGTCGTGCTCCTTTGCAGGGAAGGCAGGTGGGGAGGCTGGGCCAGAGGTCCCTGGGGTGAGAAAAACACCAGCACCTCTGAACACTGCTGTCCCCTCTTTGGGACCATGGTGAATGCCCCCATGAGTCAAGGTTTGTCTGTCCAAGGGGTGGGAGCCCACTTGGCGCTCAACCCACTCAGACCCTCCCAGAACAGGGTTGTGCCTCCTCTCAAATTCCCCCAGGACAGGGCTCTGTCTCCCAGCTCAGACCAACCCACTTCCCCAAAGACTATCTCTCCCAAAAGGCCCAGGGTAAGGGTCCTGACTCTCCTTTTAGATCCTCCAGGAAAGAACCATGTTATCAGGGCTGTACCCTACCCCCTCACCTTCAGGTAGGGCCATATTCCCACCTCAGACCCCAAAGTAGGGCCCTGTCTCCTCCTCCAGCCCTCACAGGACAGGGCTGGAACCCCCTCACCCCCCAGACCACAGGGCAGGACCCTCTTCCCCTTGAGACACCTGACCTGGGAAGGGGGCTGGCACATGTAAAACTTGGGCCATCCTCTGGTCTGCAGACGCTCCTCAAGAGTCAGTTGGGGGGCTCAGAGTCAGACTGCCTGCAGCACAGGCAAGGCTTATCTGGGGAAAAGAGGGGATGGAGACCTGAATTAGGAGAGTGGCCATCCCACTTGCACAATTGTCCCACTCCCAAACTTCCTCCTGCCCTGGGTCCAGGACACTCTCATAGGCGCACAGGGGCTTGGCTACGGAAAGGGGTGGGGGTGGGGGTGCCTCTGCCTAGAACAAAGAAACCAAACCTCACAGTCTGCCTGCACATCTGTCCAGCCCCTGGACAGGCTCCAGCTGTTCCCACAACCCCGCCTCCACAAGGCCCCTGGGCTGGGGTGGGGGACAAGCTAGACAGACCCCTCCCTTCCTGCAATCCATTCCCTTCTCTCAGCTCAGGGGCTGGCTACAGGGTCAGATGGGGGCTGAGGTGGACAGGGGACTGGGGCACTAAAGGGGAGACAGCCTTCCTGCAAAGATCTGAGGAGAGACACAGGGATAAAAAACGAGATAACATTCAGGGGAGCAGACCTGAAAGCAGAGCTGGGTCAGGCCTAGTGGGGGTGGGGGAGCTAGGGAAAGTTGGGGAAGAGGCAGTGAGGAGCAAAGCCTTTCCCCTTTTTGGAAACAATTTTCTCTAAAAATAAACAGTTTCACTGCTGGGCTACATGAGAACTTCCTGCCCCCCCCCCCAGGACACGTCCGGCTTGGGGGCGCAGCAGGGATAGAAGGCTAGGGCGGTGGCCCGGGAAGTCATGGGGGTAGAGGGAGGAAGTATGAGGGGGTGCCTGGAGGCTGCAAAGGGGAGAGACAATCAGGGTCTCTCACTAGCTCCCCCTCAACCCTAGAGGCCAGTCAAGGCTCTTTTGTCCCCCCACACTCTGCCTCAGCTTGGTCAGTCCTTTCTGTTATCTGACCTCCAGCTGCCCTGCTGTAGCCCATCCTACCAATAGAAAAGACTCTTCTCAGCTTCTGGATGCCAGGGAAGCAGGCAGGCACCTGGGAGGATGGACCAGGTGGGGTACCTGCTGGGCATGAAGGCAGGACTGGGACTCCAGGCCAGCTGTGCTCTTCCTAGTCTCCAAGTCTCTTACGTCTCTTGCTTAGTCTCTCTGCATCTCTCCAGGTTTCTGTCTCTGTGTCTCTCCACTTCTCTCCCTGTTTATCCACGTCTCTGTCCTCAATTCTCTGTTTCTCAATACCTGCAACATATGGCAGGGACATGACTGAAAACAGAGGTGGGAGGTGGGGCAAATAATATTAACAACTACAATAATCATCCCAGCAATTCATTTGATTTTTAAGGCAACCACAACTGATGGGGCAGGGAGGTCATAGAAATCCTGGAACAAAGAATGGTACAGTGAGTTGCCCAAAATTACTGGAGGCGGAAGGGTCTCCGCCTGCATTTGAACTAAGCCTGGAAGACTGCCCCGCTCCACACGCCTCTGCCCATTTCTGGGACGGAAAGACTGAGGTCTGGGGGTTTCCAGTCATAGGTCCTCGGTATAAGCCGGTGACTCCAGGGGAGAAAGCAGGTGTGTGTGTGTGTGTGTGTGTGTGTGTGTGTGTAAGAGCTGACGGGGAGTGTCTGTGGCTGAGGCTTCTCTCCTGCGGGTCCGTGGAGGATGGGGGGGACAGGAGATGGCAGCGCTGGCGAGGAAGGACGCTCCCAGAGGCACCGGTGGGGACCCAAGGAAAGGGCGAGGGGAACAGGGGAAGGTCCTCCCTAAAGCTCCCCTTCCAAGCCCGCCTGGACGTCTTCTGCCCCTCTGCCCCTCTCCACCGCCCCAGAGTCCGGGCGGAGGCGGATCCCGCCCCGAGCGGGGAGGGCGGGGCCTGGGGGTCCTGGCTAATGGCAAACAGCTGCGGCTCCCCGCGCCCGCCCAGCCGCGAGGCCGAGGCCCAGCCCGGCCGGACGCCGGGCCGCCTTCCCGCCGCCGGGGCCTGGCCGCGGAGGAGCGCGAGGGGCATCAAGGGGGAGACAGAGAAGGACCGAGATGGTGGGAAGGGGCCGCGGGGTGGCGGTGCTGGGGCAGAGGGGCAGGGAGAGGCGGATACGTGCAGGAGGCGAGGGGGTAAGAGAGACAGGGTCAAAGACGGGGAGCAGGCGGGGACGCGAGGACCGAGACACTCAGCCCAGAAAGTTCGCATAGACGGTGGAGTGGAAGGAGCCGCTCGTCAAGACCAGCGGGGGCGCACCCGGGGCTGGGAGTGGGGGCCACCGGGGAAGCCCAACCAGACTCGAACCCCGGACTCGGCCCTGGGTCGTACTCGCCTCGCGCGCTCGGCCGTCGCCGTCCCCGCGTCCCGCAGCCCGGGCGTCCTCCGCGCGCCGCCGCCCGCTCGCCCGGCCCTCGGCGGCGGCCCCGCCCCGCCCCGCCCCGCCCCCTCCCGGGCACCCCGCCCCTCCCGCCCCGGCCGCGGGGGCGGGGGGCAGTGAAGACCAGGGGGGCGGGTGGGGACCGTTCAGGACATTCACCGGATGGCAGGTAGGGGTGTGTGTGCGCGCGCACGTGCGGGGGCCGGGCCTCGCGCCCCGGCACCCTGGGTCTCCGAGGCAGGGTCCCTCCAATACTGTCCTCCCCACCCGGCTGCAGCTGGGCCGCTGCAGGGGGTGAGGGGCGGGGCTGGCCGGGGCCCAGCGCTGGGAGGGCGCGGAGCTTGGGGCGCGATGGCGGGGCACCCCTCCCCCAGCCTGCCCAGCGCTGGAAGCAGCTCGGCGCCGGCTGGTACACGGTGGCGTGAGCAACACGGGGCGGAGAGCGGGGCTAGGTCAGCACGCGGCTACGCGGGCCAGGGCCAAGGCTCCACGGCCAGCCAGAGCTGGGCTCCAATCCCAGGCCAGCCGATCCTTAACTGCCGGGTGCCTCAGTTTTCCCATCTGTAAAACAGGGCCAGGAATGCTGCCTACAGAATAGCGCTGTTGAGAAGATTCATGAAGCTTGAAGCAGGGAGGGGCCTAATGGAGGTCCCTCAGGCAAAATAACCCACACACACAAAAAGCAAAAAAGGACCTTAATCTGGGCATTCTTCCTGGGAGTCATTTCGTACAGGGTTGGGAACTCAGCAACAGTTTGATAAATGTTACTATTATTCCTCCTGTGCATGAGACATTGTCCTTTGTGTGTTGCCTTCTCCACTAGAATGTCAGCCCCACAAGGGCAGGAATTTACATCTGTTGTCCCTGTTGTGTCCCTAGCATACAGATGGTTCTCAGTGTCTGCCCAAGGTCAGGGTGTGAGGATAGACTGTACATAGGACCAGCCCCCAGGGATCACACCACACAGGCTGCTTAGAAAAACCATTTTAAATAAAAAAAAGGTAAGAAGCATCAGTGCACATAGATAGGGACAGACAAGGGACAAGGGCCCAGCCCCACATGCAATGTGGTCACCCCATGTCCAAGTAGATAGTGGGGAGACTCCAGGAAGACACAAATAGCTGAAGCCAGTGTGCTGGTTCCTCTGGGTGTGGCTTCAGGCCCTACGGGCTCAGAGGTCTGCCTTCCGGAAACTTGCTCTGTTCAAGGAGTTCCTAAGGGAGAAATAAGGTGGGTCAACATGGGCAGAGCCTCCCTTCCAATTCCATAGTGTTCCCAGCCCTCTCCAGTCTCACTCCTCCTTCACCAAGTATCCTTCTAGGGTCTTCCTTGCTCCTTTCACATCCATTCTGATTTGGTCATGGATTCACAGATTCTCTCTTAGAATTCATCATCAGAGATACGAATCATGCCCATTTTATAGATATGGAAACCGAGACTCAGAAAGATGAAGTCGCTGGTCTGGGAATTGACCCACCAGGATCTGCTATGGCTGTTCAGTGCCTGCAACTGTGTACACATCTGCGCATTCTGTGTATGTGCTTGTGCAAAGCTGCAAGTGCAAGCGCTGATGTGTACGCACATAACTGCCGGAATCCTGTGCCTGTCTTTGCTTGCCTCCTCTTGCCCTCTCTGGGGGCTGGAGTCATGGTCAGGCACCTGAGGTTGGCTACAGCAGGTGCCAGCAGCTGGGGCAAGCGCTGAGTGAGCAGGGGCTGCAGCGCCTCTCGGAGGCGGGAGTAGTTGCGCTCCAGCTCACGGTGGTACTCCTTCTGGTCTGGCCCAATCAGAGCCTTGTTCTTCCGCAGTGCATCCTCACACCTGAGGGTTAGATGTAGGAGATGCTCAGGGGCTGGCACTCGGGAAAGAAAGCAGAATCAGAGGTGGGGAAATTCATAAGATGGGGTCAGGACATCTAAATAGGGGGTCAGATAGGTAGAGAAGACTTAATGGGAATGAGAAAGGCAGGAGATCCATAATGGAGATCAGGTGTAGTGAGAGGCTATATAGCGGGGGTGGGGTGGGAGAAGGCCAGGTTGCTAGACAGGTTTTACTAGGGGTCAGGTGGCAGACAGCCATAATGGGGGGGGGGGTCAAAGAAGCTGTGATAGGGGGATCAAGCCTACTTCTTGCAGAAGTCTTTGAAACAGAGCCGCAGCTTATTGTGATGCCTGAAGAGCTTGGGGTCTTCTGGAATCTCTGCCAAAAACACCTGGGCCACCTCCAGGGGACCCTATAGGATGACAGGGGCTCATGAGGGAATCTGCATGACTCCTGGGGCACCCTCAGACAGCCTGCATCCCCCACTGGCCATGCCTGGTTCACAGTGGGCCCCACAGAGCCCTGAAGAACCATCTGCAGCATCTTGGCATCAGGCGGGTCCTGCTCAGTGGCAAAGGCCAGCTCCCTCGTCTTCTTCTGCATGTCCTCAATAGCCACCTCCACTGGTGTCAGCACAGTCTGCAGGTAGGGAAGGGGGTCTAAGAGGCTGTGCAATAAACGCAGTGGAGGACTTATGCCTGCCTGGGTCTGGCAGGGTGGGGGTACTGGCTCAACTATCTTTGTCTGGCTCTGGGGACTTTGGTCTAGCTCTGTTCCAGCCTTGGGATGGCTGGGTCTGGGAGTAGAGAATTGAGCCTGGAGACTGGGGCCTGGGGTACCTGGGATACCATGATCCTGGAAATCATGAGGGCCTCACCCACCTCCTCCCGGTGGCACACACGGATGCGAGTCTTGATGTAGGGGAAAGCATGGTCCGTGCTGAGCAGCGTTTTGCGTTTGTGCTGCTCTGGTAGCTCCCCATGTGCGCGCCCATCGGGCGTGAAGGGCGTGCAGAACAGGAAGGTACGAAGCCCATAGTTGCGGTCAAAGTAGGTCACCCGGTCCTTGAGCTCATAGGTGTCAAAGTGCGGTTCCACATATGTGATCTGGATGTAGGCCTGGGGCACAGGGCTCCTATGTGAGGCTCCCACAGTCCCAACATGCATACACCCAGGTTTGCCAGCCTCCCCGCAGAGCCCTCCCTCCCTGATGAAGGAGATTTAAGTAAGTCTGGGGATTCCCAGGTTTCTCTTAGTCTGGATATTTGGGAATGCTTCAAGGGCTAGGATTTTGAATCCCAAAGAGAGATAAGCTTTGATATTTCCTGGAGAAATAGCATTTGAGGGTCCCGAGGAACTTCTCGGAGGATGGTCAGGAGTCCTTACCTTATGTGGGTCGAGCTTGCTCTTGTCCACAGGGTTTGAGTCTTTGACAATCTCAACCACATTCTCCCCAAATCGTTCTGTGTAGAACTCCTAGGAGACATGGGGCTGACTTGGGGTCACAAGGTGCAGGCCCCGTTCCATCCCAGGGCAACCTAAGCCCTACCCACCCACCTCTACCCAGACATGCCTCCAGCCGGTGTGAAATCTCAGCCAGCTTTGTGATAGACGGCTCCTTGTACACAAACTCCTGCTCATCCAGGTCTCCAAAGTGGGTGCCATAGAAGCCTACTCGGAAATAGGTCCCAAAAACGCGCTGCAGCTGTGGGAAGGGGCATTGTTGTCCTAGGAAGCTGCTCTGGGAGGTACCCGGGCACCAGAGACACATGTCCTCCGGCCCCACATGGGGAAGAGGTTGGCATGGGAATGAGACTCTGGGAACAGGTCGTGGGCATAGAGGACCCCAAGAACATCAGGTCATGGGCACAAGCAGGGGCATCCTGAGAAACAGATGTCTGGACGCAGATCACTACCAGCTGGCCATGCCCCTATTCTCTCTCTCCAGCCTATCTCATACCTCTGCCAAACTTAATTCTCATTTAAAACAAGTCCCTAGTTTCTGTTTTGCCCTCTTGCCCCCATGCAGTTCCTCAATCTAGACCTCAGCATGAAATGAGGACCAGGACTCTACAGCTCACAGCTGTGACCTCAGTTTCTACAGGTTTGGTTATACAGCAGGTGCTCAATAAATGCTTGAGTGACTCTGAGCAAACATGACTGTCTCCTGCTGTGGGATAGAGGCTCTGGCTTCCTTGTTCCAGGGCATCCCACACCCCCAGCCCTAAGTTTGGAAGGAGGGCCCCACCCCTCATATATTACCCTCCATGGAAAGGAAGTGGGGAATCCATGTTCACTCACCAAGGCAGATCCAGGTGGGGTGGGACAGGTATGAGGTGAAGGAGGGGGAGGGGGAAGAACAGATACACAAAGTCACAGAGAGGTCAGAAGTCAGAGTCCCGGCCCCCAGGGTCCTGTTTATGCTGCCCTATGAGAAACATTGCTTTGGCAGAGACCAGAGATCCAACAAGGGGACCTGCCTGCTCCACCCGGCCCTGATGTTGCCCTCCCGCCTGGGCTCTGGGTTTCTGCCATCTTTGGCCAGAAAAATTCTCCCCAAACTAGAAGAGGCCTAAAAATAGATCTAAGTGTAGAGAGGCAGGAGAGGGGGGGCATGCATTAACTGGAAATGAAGAGCAGAGATCCTGGGGGAAAGATGGAAAGACAGGGAGAGAAAAAGACTGAGAGACATAAAGAGAATGAACAAGATGGGGAGAGACAGGGACAGGGAGAGATGAAGGGAAAGAGACCAAGAGATACAAGGAGATAGAGAGACAAAGAGAAACACAGACAGGGTGTCGGGGGAACCCCTCCCAGGCAGTGACCAAGCTGGCCCAGCAGAGGGAGGGGTGTCTCGGGAGAGCTCCCAGCTGGGTGAGTCACAAGCTGCCCTCAAGATCTGGGGTGGAGGAAGAGAAGGGGGCGGAAAGGGGGAAGTAGGGGGGTATAGTCATCAGCCGGCGCCTGGCCTTCAGTGGGGCAGCTGTGCTCTTTTAGCGCCCTCTGGTGGTTCCTGACCTTTGCTGACCAACTGTCACTGGGGTTTCAGAGACAGGTGGGGTTGACTCACCTCCCAGCCTGAGCTCTGTGGGGGAGAGAAAGGTCTAGGTCAGGTGAGTTCTGGGGGCTGAGTCCAAGGGTCAAGTATAGGGCAGGGTTCCTGGGCCCACCTGGTGCATGATCT